AGTTATTTCCTTTAAGCGTGACTGTTCAATATTACGGTGGCTAACAAGGGATACCACACAAAATAATAAGAATTATACACAAACAAAATAAAAGTATTTTTATTTTGTTTGTGTATAATTCTTATTATACACAAAATACATTATACAGATACAAAATAAAAATATACACAGAAAATAAAAACACACACGCAAAATATGATCGCGGGCGCTTGCAGTGTTGGATTGCTGACTACTATCAGTTTAATATAAAACAAATTGCGAAGAAGCAAGATATCTTGAGATTGCAAAATATGAATCAAATCAAGACGAGAAGTAAACGAGTCGAAAGCTCAATAAAATAATTTTTAAAACAATCTAGAGAAACTTTCATTTTTTTATGTAATATGTAAATTGCATGGATCGCACATGCCTAACACAATGCTAAAATTTGAAGATAACTAATCATTTCATACGTCATATTTTAACGTATTATTTATAGATTGTGCTGATTTGAGTCTTGAGTCATTTCCTTTAAGCGTGACTGTTTAATATGACGTAGAAAATAATAGTTATCTTCAAATTTTAGCACTGTGTTAGGCATGTGCGATCCATGCAATTTACATATTATAAATGGAAACACGAATCCAATATAAAATCATTGCCCAGCTTCGTAACAAATCCGTAATCTATTGCCCTAGTGTAAAACAACGTCAGAATTAAAAATAGTGTCATAAATAGTAACAAATTTCACCGGTTGAGAAAGATGTCTTTGTATTTTCTTAAAACAGGACTTTAAGAGGAAAAGGATGAGGTTGAGCATGATATCAAGAATTATTCAGACCGAGGTCAATGTAACAAAAAACATTGACCTCGGTCAATAATTGCTTATTATTTCTCTCATTAATTTTTCGTTTCAGTATCGCAAGGGCTTGCTTTAGATTCCTTTCCAAATGTCATTTAAAATATTTCGCAGTTAAAACTGTTAAATGCGACAAGTACTACTCGACCACATGTTAAAATCACAATCACACATATCTGATACAACCTTATAATAAACTCAAGGTTAAATAGTTGGAATGTTATTAAACAAAAAGAATGATAGCATAATCATATAACCAACAACTACAAACAATAACGACCTTGAAATAAAGACTCTGAAATAATTTTCTATGTAAATAGCAATAATTTAGAAACGTCTTCTCTGTTATAGTAACACAAAATGCCAATGACATATTTTTGTTTGATTATTAAAACTCTAATGCAAACAGACAGTCAGACAATCGCTTAATTACTGTTTTGTTCCTATGAGGACAAAAACGTAGCGAGTCCGGATATTGTAGAAACAAAGAATCTGCTAAGAACACTTTAGAAAACAAAGATTTTGTTTTCTAAAGAGTCGATGGAGTACTTTGCTGCATTTAAACAAAACTACAATGTTGTAAGTCACCAATACTGTTAATCTTTAAACTGCGAATAAACAAAAGCATCACCAATATGCTCATTTCCGCATGATTTTCAAACAAAGAATAAAGAAAACACTGGTAACACTTGAAATAAAACAGAGAACCCATGATAATGCTGAAATGACCAAATTCAAAAACAATTTGCATCCCTATTTTCCAAACTTCCAATTTCAATTTTCAGGCAGCCTTAAAGCTATTAGAGACATTTAAAATTGTTTACAGTTTGATTGCCAATGGTAGTGTTTGCTACTTTCAGCACAGTACAATATTTTACGCCAAAGCATTTCATACAACGGTGAAAGCTGGTGAATAGGACAAACCTATAGTGCTTGGAAGATGATGCAGCAGCTCTCAAACAATAGAATGTTCAAAATCATATTTCTCGTTTTGTTAATCATCAAGTTTATTTGGGTTTTTAACTGTAACTTGGCAGCCGTAAAACATTTCTACTCAAAAGCAGACATATATTTTCAACCCTCACCACGATCTTCAGATAGTCACTTGCTGGGTTCTAAAACCACCCCTTTTTAAAAATTTAAGTATAGGTGCTTGTTGCAATTCAAATAGAAACTATGAGCGGAGAGCCACACCCCTTTCTCCATAAACAAGGGCTATAATTCAGAGTCCTGCTTATAGTTTAAAATCTTGTTATACCCTTTTGCGGTGACTATATCGTTTCCCGATTGATAAACGGATTGTGATCTTTTCTCGAATGTATCTTGTCAATAATGACCGCCAGTGTGTATAAGTAAAATGCGATATAAGCGTAAAACGTATGCTTGCGCACCACCACTTTGGTATAAATTAAAGTTACTGTGTAACTTAATTCGAAACCAGAGGTGGATTAACCAGTAGACTAAGTAGACTTAAGCATACAGGCCCGGGCTTTTGAGAGGTCCATTGTATATGGACATAATTAGGATTTGAACGTTTTTGATATTCCAGCCGTGCTAGCTAAATGTGTTTGACTTAGACTATTCACACTGTTGAAAACCTTACATGCAATTGAATGCAAAGGAAAAATGGCTTTCATACTATCTAATGATCAAATACGCAATACTCAGAACTCATGAAGTAACCCTAACCCTAACCCTAACCCTATGGGGTTACAAACAGAGCAAATGCAAAAGCAAAGGAAATCAGAACTTAATGAGAGGAATAGACAGGCCCTGTAATTAGTAATCCGCCCACAATGATTTAGAACCCAATCCTCTAGATGTCTAACTACCATGTCAAGGTGAGGCAAGTCAGAGGCGGTTTTTTCAAAAAATTATGACGTCATATAAGGAGTTCACAAATAGACCGTTCACATTCCCATGAAGTTATGGGAAGGGTTCCTAATATTTCAAGTATGACCTTTATGTTATGAAAACCATCAAAATTTATAGCTTTTAATGCTGTAGCTACATTACTTGGATAAGGACCTTTACGATATTCCCAGAAGGATTGCCATAATAACAACTCTGCATTCAAACCTAACGGATTGGGTAAATCATCAATGTAAAATTTGGAAACAATCTTGAGTTTCTGTTTCCAGTTAACCCCATTTTTTATAAGAGAAAACATTTTTCTTGAAACAATACTCAGTCCCTGACAGATATTTACGTTTTCCGTGTCAAATCGTGCATCTAAAGAAGACAGAGGATAGTCAATTAATGGAGTCGTATAGATTCGTTTGAAATACTCCTAGACAGAACGATAAGGAGGATTGGGCCTTGTAGATTGCTTTTAAATTGTCCATTGCTTACATTCTTCTACCTCAACCTTTGACGCTAACGTTAATGCAATGTCATACCATCGATCATAATATGAATCAATAGAATTTCTTACATGTGCAACACTGCTTTTCAACGACGAGATCAACTCAATCCCATTCGTAGTTGAACCAATCAGTATTTTTCCTCAACATACATACCAAATAACCCAAAACAACACTATATAAATCAATTCTTTTCTTATTTTAAACTGAAAAATCAAAGAAAGTAAGTTTGAAAATTAGTTAAATTGGAAATTAATTAATGGCAAGCGTGTCAACAGAGACGGTGATAATAACTTATAAATTCCGTGCGTTTATCCATTTCTTGGAGATACTTTTCCTTGCCAACGGCTTAAAGGACGTAAGAAAAATTCAAATTTCTAAGTTCACACAAACAGAAAATATTGTTGACACTTTCGATTGATTACGGAAGATATATACAATATGAAGACATGTATACAATATATTTGACATGTTCCAGAATAAATATTTAAGTATATCTTTTATTATGTGGTGTATTTATATTACCTGATCGTTTACTACAGTTTCAAAACAATGAAAAATTAGGTTTGGGACATTGAAAAAGGTGACAGCGTCCACTTAATAGAGGTAACCGATTAATAAAGTCACTTTTATAGAATTTATACTATGAAATTTTCGGGATTTGCCTTATAACCGCTTAACACAGGATGACCTGCTTAATACGGTGCCGCTTCACACAGGTTCTATAAAAATATATTTTAGTGTTAACAGTTCACAGTTGATTCCAAGAGTACATTCAAGTGTGCATGTACAGAAATAAATGAATCTCCGAGAATTCAGCCTAAGTAAACATTTTTTTCTACGAACATCTGCTTTTGAAAGTGCGAATCTACTTCACTTTACCCTGCACATTTAACCTACAACTTGTGACATTATATAGACACGTTTCTGGGTGATGTTTTAAAAATATTTAGGTTTTACTTTCTTATAATTTGTCACAAGAAACAATTTAAACAAAAGCACACAATGTTGATGCAAAACGTTTTCGTGTTAATTTGGTAAAACCACCACTTGAAAGAAACAAAATTTAAAGAAGATCCATGTTTTATCCCCTCATCCATGTTTCATCCCCTCCTCCGTATCCGTATCCCAGCCATCCGCATCCGCGTTTTATCCCAACCCGAACATGAGGACGCGGTGCACATTTGAGTGGTCCTTCTGTATAATTTTATTCTGTGAGGAATGTAAAATTTGAAAGAGTATGTACATATGAATTAGCTATAGACAGCAAATAAATTCAAACAAAAATTTTTCAGCAGCTCTAACATGCTAAATATTCAATTTTAAGGTCTTACATTGTTAAATACGTGTTTTGATGCCATGTCGTCACAACAGATTATCATGCATAGAAAGTGCGGAAACAAAGAGTGTGTTGAAATATAAAAAATATTTGATTAGTTTGTAAACTTACCTTTGTTTGATTTATCACTTGCATGAGGAATTAAATAATAAATAATCGGTCTATTTGAAGACCTGAAAAAGACCGATTATTCATAAGACCCCTCATTGTGAAACAATCAATCGAATTAAATGATCGTTTTGTGAATTGATATCATAGTATTGCTAGAACTATTATATTTTTCACATCTTTCACTAGCTGATTAACTAAAATACCTCTGCAGAATAACAAACACTGTTCGCCATGCCTTAATTAATCGTTGTTGTTACGACAAAGTGAAACGTCAATTTTTTATCTACATAAGATGACAAAGATGACATAAGATGACATAAGAGTACAAAGAGCTACAACTACCACAAAGTGAAACGTCAAATTTTTTTATCATTTTAGCCATAAAATATTGCGTTGAAGCTTCTATTTCTAGTTTTTATGCGAGGAATAAATTGAGTTACATATTTCTAAATGTATATCGTCCAGGTTGGTGATAATGTTAGCTGTAATGTGTGGGTGTCAATTGTGTATTGTAATTGTGTATTAGTGTAAAGTGTAATGATTTAGTTGATTGTGTTGTTGATTTAGTTGAATGAATTGAGTCCGGTCCACGTACCACAACAATTTATATCTTTGTGGATACGTAATTTTTATAAGGGAACTCCTTTCTATCTACATGTATTCTCTACTTTTAAATACTTAACAAGTTGATATCGTGCAGCTTTGTCACACAAGTTTATAAATGTTGAATGAAGAATCAATGGGCAATTATTGCAGTTTACCGAATATGTCGTCACCATTGGCCATCTTGCATTTTATCTACACATCTGCTGCGTTTCTTCTAGAAACAGATGCATAGTTCAGAAAATTGAGATTAGATCTCGAATTTCGAAAATATCTAAAAAACGATTTAAGACTATTGCGATAATTCTTAAGCCTAAGTGCGTATACGATTGGATTGAGAGCAAAATTCAACAAAGCAACTGGTTCATAGTGCACTGCAAAGTGTCGAGCATAGCTGCTCTGTATTTTCCCTAATCTCTTCATGAATTCCACTTGTTTGGCGACAAAATATGGAAAGGCAGTTACAAATAAAACTATATTCAGAATGACGATTGTCTTTGCAATTTCGAGGTGTTTACTGTTCTGTTGTTGCCCATTCATATTTGCATTTGGTCGACTTAGCATTACTTCCTTGATGATAAAACACTTCATGATAATCTGGAGGAAAACAGCAAATTCTAAAACGGCATATTCCGTTATATAGATATGCATCACCTGCTCGAACGAAATATCGAAAATTTCATGTGAAATTTCTCCTAAAGCAATGCAACTGGCCACAAACCACAATGTTATGCATAGGATGATAACTTTCCTCGTAGATAACATTTGTCGACTACGTATAGGATATTTGGCAGTGGCAAGGGTTTGCCATGTAAGTGATGTCAAGTGAAAAAATGAGCCTGCCGCTCCAAGCATCCACACGTATAAACAAGCAGACTTGATTTCATTTGACACTTCGATACCAAACTCCGCTGTTAATCCAAGTGTGAAGAACTTTGAAAGAGAAGCAATAAAATCGGCTGAGGCTAAGCTAAGAATAGTTATCCATGGTCCTCGTCTTATAATACGAAGAGGATCCACCAGAATAACAATGATAAGAAGACTGTTGTTTACGACACCCATCATTGACATGGCCATTGATGCGATTGTTTCCTCATGACCATATGACTAAATGCATTTTAAAAGAATGATTATGCAGCGCTTGCAAAATAGATTGACTACATCATTTGCACTAATGGCTCAAATAACCATAGTCGAACTTTAATGTCCGCTTAGGAGAACAAAATCGAGAGAAATTGTTTAAAGAATTTGACTGCAGACTGCCCATAAAATTGACGAGTATCGCGGTATCAGCATTAACAATCATATATTATTTCTACAACTGAAAGCAGTCATTAAAATTTAAGACCAATTTCAGAAACTTACCTCTGTTTTGTTTACTGTGACGTTCATTTCTGCCACAATCTGGCTAACTTGACCAAACGAAAACTTGCCGGTGGAATTAATTGCTAGCAAAAAATGTAATGAGTAATGTAAGAAAAGATCCAAAGAAATAACTTGACCATCATAATGTTATGTCTTATCGTCTTACCCACAAGATTTTAGCGATCGAGCTGTCAAAACATCTCTGGCGTTATAGCATATGTTTCGTTACCACAAAAAGCAGAATAACTATATATAAAAGAACATTACTAAAATTCCTGAATAGATTTAAGATAAATTTTTACGTGACTACTTTTTTGTATCTAACGATTATGTACGTATTAGCGTGTTTCAAACTTGTCAAATCAATGGAATTGTCTAGAGCGTTGACGTGCGTGGCAAACCTTAAAATTTTTTCATGTACCATTATTAGTTTCTAGCTTTTTACCTATACAATATAACAATGATTTAGTTTTTCATTCTGACGTTGTTTTATTCACACTAGGGCAATAGATTACGGATTCGTTACGAAACTGGGCAATGTTTTTATATTGGATTCGTGTTGCCATTTATAACATGTAAATACCCTAGAAACTTCATAAACAAAACTATAAACAAAATACAAAGCAAAACACAAACTGACAAAAGCAACAAGAAACCGAACGAAGCAGTAAAAATCATCACATTACCATACATAAACGGAACATCAGAAATGAGTGCCAGATGTCTTCGATTATTTAATATTAACCTCGCCCACAAACCTACACAAAAACTCAAATCATGTTTTACCAAACATAAAGACAAAACAACAATTCATGATACAACTGACGCGATCTACATGATACCATGTAAAGACTGTTCAAAGCAATACATAGAACAAAAATCAAAGGAAATCGAAACAAGACTCACGGAACACAAAAACGCCATAAAACGACGAGATCCGAATTCACTACCGGCAAAACTTACCCACGGAGATAACCACACATTCCACTAAAGTAGTAGTACGCGCACAGACTAAACACGCACGCGAATTTAAAGAAGCTTGGTACAGTAAAGACAACGACACAATAAACAGACATATCGACATACCCATCATATACTCACAACTAAAAAATAAGGACAAAAAAACTACAAACAACAACAAAACTACAACATTACACTCTTATAATATAAACACTGATCATGTTTAACAATACACCAAAACTCATGGCAACGCATTCCACCCCATCCGATCACATCAATCCACCCGCTAATCCAATAAGAGGCTCTAAGCGTCTACAAGCTAAAAACACATGTAAATAGTAATTTCCTCATTCTGATGAAGGCTCGAAGCAACGAGTCGAAATTACAATAAAATAATTTTTAAAACATTGCAGAGAAACTTTCATTTTTTATGTAATATGTAAATCGCATGGATCGCACATGCCTAACACAGTGCTAAAGTTTGAAGATAACTAATTATTTTCTACGTCATATTTTAACTTATTATTTATAGATTGTGCTGATTTGAATCTTGAGTCATTTCCTTTAAGCGTGACTGTTCAATATTACGGTGGCTCACAAGGGAAACCACACAAAATAATAAGAACTATACACAAACAAAATAAAAATACACACACAAAATACATTATACACATACAAAATAAAAATACACACACAAAATACATTATACAAATGCAAAAAATTATTTGGGTTTTGTATTATAGGTAGCGTTCCATGTATTTTAATTCAATGTTGTTATACAATTTTGGCGGAATCAGATATCTAGTAGCATTGGTTCTAGGCACTGACCTGGTTCTAGGTCATTATCCGCCACTGTTTGCTACCGGTCATCCTTTTTAATTTTACTAGTTGATATGTTTTTAAATCGAAGAACTGACACTCTTGAGAAAGAGCAGGTAAAGATAAGAGAAGATAAGCAGGTAAAAATACTGTTTACGTGGTACAGAGTCACCTTTCCTTGCAAGGCTAGCTCTTACCCTACTGTTCCTTTGTCTGTGCACGATTAAAGACTGGAGTTTCAAGTTTGAGTAAGTACAATTCTGCTTTGGTTTCTACGATTTTCGATGTATATTTAGTTTAATTCAAATTTCGATATTAGCATCAGAAAATCGTTTTTGCCAGAATCCTTCAGTTTAAAGTTTCAAACTTCATGGCTGCCAGCCAAAAGAACTGATCACGAAAAAAATTCTCGCAAGTGGATGTATCAGCAAAAAGCGCAAAAAAATTGATAAGTCGTCTTTCCCGCATGTTGCTTTAAATACAGCTGATCATAGATTGTTTATCTTTTTTATCACTTCGCCTTGCACATGCGCGCTGCGGCACACAGTTCTTTGAGAATAGTGAAATGCTTTCCTTATGCAACATGCTGACATCTTGTATCTCATCACTTGAGTGCGTGTTTTAGTGAAATTGTGAGCTGATATCGATCTGATGTGTCGCACAAAGACGTGATTTCTTTCTTTGCTTGCAGACCTGTAGACGATAAGACTTACTTTTGAAAATTTGACTCTCTCAGGTTAACGCTCGCCAGCTACCCCACTGTCGGAGACCGTCTTCATCCATGTGTAGGGAATTCCTGGCGCTCTCCTCCTCTCACCATATAAGAGCACGTCGCCATACAAATGTATAAACAAGTTTATAAACTTTAATCAAGAAACAAATGTAATTTACTAACAATCTACATGAACGTCTGATTTTTGATGATCGCTAAAATCACAATTACAAGTTCATACATTCAAAATTGAAACAAAAGTTCATATCACGTAACAAACTGAGATTAGGGTTCGAGTTAATAACTTCTTTAGATAGTAAGATTGATTTTAAGTATATTTGCACTTTAATTGTTATAGGTCGAAAATTTTTTTAAATGGGCTTTTCGCGCTAGGAATTAACGAAGTGAAACAGCGCTGGAAGTGACGTGTTAGAACACGCTTGCTTCGTAAAGTATAAACATCTTACAATAATATAGAATTTGAGTGGTAGAGTCCAAACAGTTCTACTTTTTTAAGGTTCATTGTTTACTATAATCCTGCATAATGAAAACTATGTCGTCCATGTATGTGTTCTCTAATGTACGTCATCTAATGTGCGTCACTTCCGGCGCTGAGTCATCGACCTCGAGGCCCAATTAGCCCACGAAAATAAGACTTTCGTCCTACAAAATATAATGCAAAAGTTCTGAAAATCTAAGCTATTAACACACAAAATTTCTTATCAGCATGAAATTTCTAAATAAAAAATAATTCTTAAGAAATTTTGGTTTACTGGGGTGAAGTGTTGACTAAGTAATGGAGGGGGGTGGGGTGGAGAGACAACGATTGTTGTTTGTAAACTTGTATTAGAATAATAGAAAAAATATTTAGGTCAAACATGTAAGTAGTGAACTCCTCCTTTATTAGTGCCAAAGGCAATTAGGCCATACTTGATCATTGGATGCCATGATACAGCATTAACATTTGCACCAGAAAAAATTCTTGATTCAGAAATACTTTTGACATCAAATTGAAGTTTCAATGTCATCACTCTGGACAGATTTTTTTTAGAACCAAGCTTGAAAATATGCCCTACTACTTTTGCAGCAACATCCTCACTCAATGAAATCCCATGGGATACACCAACAATAAGATGAGAATGCAAAGGCGAGAAGCATATTGTCATTACACTTTGTTTAACACCTTTAGAGTACAAGCATTCGCCTAGTTTCATTTGCTCCAGCGAAAACACACATATATAACAGGATTCTGCATCATTCGCTGAAGGAAAGACAGCTGCACACAGGAAACGACCATCTGAAGATATATCAACTCCTAAATTATTCAAAAATTTGCAGTTTGATGTGATAATGTTATTGCTGGTCTTTTGCAAACTGGGAATTGTAAAGTGTGTAAAATCCCAATATTGTAGACGATGCAACTCGGGTCGGTTTAAGATTGAAATTGACAGTTGATCTTCTGGTGACCTATCTTCAACATGTTCTACACACGTCTCCATGTTGTGTGTATTGACATGTATCACAGATGTACGACAAGTTAAAGATTGTGCTTGATTCTGGTGGCATATGGCCTCATAAGTTTCTTTACAAAATTCCTCATGCTCAGCTTGGAGTATTCCTGTTATTATGAAATTGCCATGTGGACCAAATTTCGCAAGTCTAACCCTTTCATAAAAAGACGTTACGTTGCTTTTAGCAAACGGTTTTGACTCGTTGCATGACCAAAATAGCAGTTGATTTCCTGCTGCGATTAACAACACTCTCTCGGATGGATGAAATGCCAACGAGGTCACATTAGAATCGCAGGAGGTTTTACTCACAAGCTTACAGTCTTTGTTTAAATCCCACACTTTTACAACACCGTTAAGGCAACCAGTTGCAATCAAACATGAGTCAGAAGGATGAAAAGCTGCAGACCACACTGTACGCGGATGTCCGCTTAACACGTGTAGGCAAAGATTTGAATTAACATCACTTACGCGCACTGTATGATCTGCGTGGCTTGATGCTAATTTCTCTCCATCAGCACTGAAAACGAGAAAATATGTGCTTCCTACTGAACTTGAAAACTTGTAGGAGAAGGCTCGCCGAGCGTGAGCGATTTGTCGTACACCATATTGTTGAATTGTGTTGTAGGCTGTTTTTGAAAGACGACTGTATTGTCGCCTTGACAAGCACCAGGTAACATTTGAGGAATATAAGTCCATCATTTCACGCTAACAAATACGTCGACAGCAGTTTTAGAATTTTTGTAAAATAAACATTTGTGCAATAGATTGTAAATGAAGAGTTGGAAGACTTAGTTTTTGTAGGTGTACATTTAGAATGCAGGCTACCTTCAATGAACTTCACATACAGATTATAGGCTGTTATACTAACATTTAATATCAACGAAATAACTTTTTTCCCAACAAAAATAAATGAAGAAGTAAGCAAAATAAAGAAAAATTATATTGTGTGAGTCGCGATTTAGTGAATTTTTGCAACTTATGTGTTAGGCAAATATAAAAATACGACCCCGGCAGGATTCGAACCTGCAATCTTCTGATCCGAAGTCAGACGCCTTATCCATTAGGCCACGAGGCCGGTTGAATATATGTGTCTAGTAAACGTATTTTAACTAATTACATAAATGTTTACATTGACTAATGCATATTCAAATGCAAATGATTGACAGAATTATTACGAATTTATTAACTTACTTATATAATAATGGCTCCGTCGATTTCGACATATGAGGGTTCCACGAAGTGGAACATCCTGGTTACTTAAATTATAGTGAAGGCAGCTGACCAGACTACAATCACTCGTACCTTTCACGCAACTACAACGCTGATATCAGCGTGACACATTTGACAAGGCTGCAACATTGCAGATGCAGATACAACTTACTTATATAGGTATTAAAGCATTCGACAAATTTTTTATAGTATAAAATTTTGAAGTATTTAACATGGAAAACAGTTTGGTGGTTTGAAATTGCTTAAGATTTTCAAAAACGTAATTTTCGTTAGTTTTTGCCTGTATTTGAACTTTCTTTAATCCATCATGGTCAATTTTATTCTTGTCATATATTGAATGGACTTCTCAATGGGGAGTTTAAATTTACTCGTTAACGCTCCAAATATAACTCAGTTCAGTGGCGTTTGTCTTATATCAAGTGCGCATGTGCAAGACTAATATTTTATTCAATATGGCGGACGCAATCGAAGGTGATGGGTAGGGCATTAAAATATGTCTCGTTTGGCAGATTATTTTGCCGTTATTGGCATTCCTAAAACAAGTTCGCCAGGTATATGTGATTTTTATTATTTATCTGGTCGGGTTGAGTGTGAAACATCTTAAATTATCTTGTTCAAGAATCTTTATTGATTCAAGTAAATTGTCGTATAATTTCACAAATTGGAAAAACAACGTATTTGTGTTTTATGGAAAAAAAATTGTTTTTATTATTTTGTCGAAATAGATAGTCTGGCTGGAAAAGTGCTTCAACGATTTCCATCCCAAGACAGAAAAGATGATGCCTTTCCCGAAGCAATCGAAATGGTAATGCCGTAAAATATATTACTTAAAAAATTGTTTTAAAATTTGTTTGCATGTATTATTACTTTCTTGTTACTTTATGTAATGTAATTAAACTTTGCCAAAAGTTTTCTCTGCGTCATGTCAATGTGTTTCCTATTCATCATAACCTTCATTTGATGATAATATTACGTACTATAATTCTTCGCATCACTGGTTTTCCAGCGGCCAAAAACCGCTCACAAGTTGGAAATTTTAAAAATTGCGCGGGATTGATTATACAAACTTTATGATGTACGTTTCGTAAGAATGATAAAATTTTATTCCAAATTTTCGTTATACTGTGGCAAGGTGATTTTCTCAAATGTTTAACGTAGATAAACTTAAAACTTTCATATGATTGGTTCATTTTTTGTATTTCTCTGTTTATGTATTTGTGGTATTGCCATTGCTAAACATTGGCAATGCCACCTTAACAGTCCAGTTATACATGACAGTCATTTGAACTTTATGGCCTTTTATAAATTACATATAATGTCATTACAGTGGTCAGAAAAGTTGCTTCATTATGTGCTAAAGGGCTGAGCGTGAAATAGCAATGATGAAAATCATAAACAGTCTGTTAGTACATAACTAAAACTCAAAGTCAAAGTCCTGACTAGAATTTTTAACTTATGCTTTAATTTTGATTGTACTTAAAAACCATGACCACCGACAATTTGAAGAAGTATAATATAAAACAAATTCCGAAGAATCAAGACAAGGCGAAGTAAACTGTAAATTTTCGACTTTATTTCAAAGTCATCCTCAGACAGAATGTAATATTTCTGTAAAATCTGTCTGGATTCATATTTTGCAATCTCAAGATGTCTTGCTTCTTCGGAATTTGTTTTATATAATACTTCTTTGATTGTACTTGAATACTTATTTTGTATCCACATGTACTAATCGTAATCCACATGTACTAATAGAACATTTTGAAGTTGAAAATCAATAATCTTTGCAATTTTACTCAGTGGCATAGGTAGACAGCCAACTTTTTCCTTCTGCTATCCCAATATATTTGTGTTTACTGACTGTGACAACCATAGATTTCTAAAGAAATGTATAATGATAATCCTTCAATCTGCTGGCTGGCTCTGCTAATGGCTGTACGCGCAACCAAAGAATGTTGAAATAAATATGTTTGTGTTTCATACATATTTGTTAATATAAAAACAATAAAACACATGTGGTAATTGGTCTATTTTTTTACTTGCATTAGCCTGTGCTGACCAATCTGAGCTCAGCAAATCAAATCAATGAACCAATCAAAGAGAGTTTGTATATCAATCATGAATACATGTTAGAGGAAATATAAAAACTTTTGTTCTTAATTTGTCTGTTTTGCATTATTGTTATTTGCTTGAAGAAATAACATTTGTGAAAACTATCAAGTTCATTTGTGAAAACTCTTGTGCTATATGCTCCCGTGCAAACCACCAACCTTTGGTCTCAGGCTTGCACAGTTTTCTTTTAGTTGCTGACAAATAATTTTTACTCTTCAGTTTTATTCAATACAGTTATTCATCTTTTCGTAGTTTTGCCAGCCTGCTGGATGGGAGATGTCATATTACAAAAAGGAATCAACATTTTTTGTATCCGTTCTAACTGATGTGGTCGGCAATAGAAGCTATGTAGCATGCCTTTCGTTTCATGAACCATTCACTCTTGTAAAAAACAAAGAAGATCTCAACTCTGGTATAGAAACTGTTGACATCACCATTGAGTCAAGTGATGGTACCCAAAGTTCTTCCAAGGATGTTGAAATGGAAGTATACTATCCCAAGTGTCTTTGTTTGATATCAAAGCTCTCATACTTCAACATTTTGAAGGTAATCATGTTAAAGTTGGTAATCATACTCCGTATAGAAGACTCTTGTTTAACTCAATATTTGAGAAAGAAACAAGAAATTTTTTATTTGAAAAGTTATATTTCGACTTTGTTACAAATTCACCATCAGACTATATTTATAAGCTAACTGACGCTCTACTTATATGTGCATTACATCATTTCAATGGAAGTGGATGGGTGGGATTGGTTGATTGTGACGCTGTGAAATCAAATAGTGACAGTTCTTTGCTGGCTTTAAGCCCAATATTAAGTTCTGGATGGTGTGATTTAATAAAGAGTGCTTCCATTTAGTAAAAGTTAGTGTTTGAGTAAAATATTTTTTAGCTGTTAAGTACAAGCTCGTAATGTTTGAATTACATTTGTCCAAAAGAGTTTTGTGATGAAGTGTGTTCTTATTTTGAGATATTATGTCCTGTGCTTTTTGGCATTGCAAGAATTGTTGTGTAATAGCGCTTGTTTCATGTTTTGTGGTTTCATTAAAGATAAATTGCTTCAGGTTTTTTGGGAAGGGGATATGGTCTGATTTATTGTAGATGGCTCATTTACAACCTGTTTACACTACACTTGATTGATTTTAACCCTGGATTAATTTTCCCCCAGATGCAAAAAAAATGGACTTTACATTGTACCATTAGCTTTGTGGCAAGTTCAGCAATTTTTCTTGTTGCTATGTAAGCAGTTTGTTGCTAAGTAAAACCAGTTGAATACCAGATTAACCTGTTGAAGTGGGTATAGTGTAAACATGTCAATAATATTTATGTCAATGAAGATGATTTTCGTTTCTAGAGTTGCCTTGCTGCAATTTATACATCATGGAAAAATGAAAATGGAATGCTACTTGAGAAAATAGTTTCCTCGATTCTTGGCTTCATACGTGCTCCTTCAGTAGGTTCTGATTCAATAACATTCTCCATTGGTCTTGGAGATAAGACAACACTAAGTCCACCAATATGGGATGAAGTACCCGTCACTGGAAAGTCTGTGGCTAACTTATTTCGTTTACTTGGTAAGCAAAGTTGAAATGTCTAGAGTTCATTTTGAGACAAATTTAGGAAACAATATTTTTACAGTAGTTTGCCTTGTTATTACAGAGGTTTACATGTTTGTGATAGAGGATTGCCCTGTTGTTACAGAGGTTTACACATTTGTTACAAAGGTTTACATAGTTGTTACAAAAGTTTGCCTTGTTGTTACAAAGATTTCCATGTTTGTTATAGATGTTTGCCCTGTTGTTACAGAGGTTTATACATTTATTACAAAGGTTTACACAGTTGTTACAAGAGTTTGCCCTGTTGTTACAGAGACTTACATGTTTGTTATAGAGGTTTGCCCAGTTGTTACAGAGGTTTACACATTTGTTACAAAGGTTTATGCAGTTGTTACAAAAGTTTGCCCTGTTGTTACAGAGACTTACATGTTTGTTATAGAGGTTTGCCCAGTTGTTACAGAGGTTTATGCAGTTGTTACAAAAGTTTGCCCTGCTGTTACAGAGATTTACATGTTTGTTACAAAGGTTTACACATTTATTACAAAGGCTTACACAGTTGTTACATAGGTTTACACATTTCTTACAAAGGTTTACACAGTTGTTACATAGGTTTACACATTTCTTTTAAAGGTTTACACAGTTGTTACATAGGTTTACACATTTCTTATAAAGGTTTACACAGTTGTTACATAGGTTTACACATTTCTTACAAAGGCTTACACAGTTGTTACATAGGCTTACACATTTCTTATAAAGGTTTACACAGTTGTTACATAGGTTTACACATTTCTTATAAAGGTTTACACATTTCTTATAAAGGTTTACACAGTTGTTACATAGGTTTACACATTTCTTACAAAGGTTTACACAGTTGTTACATAGGTTTACACATTTCTTATAAGGGTTTACACAGTTGTTACATAGGTTTACACATTTCTTATAAAGGTTTACACAGTTGTTACATAGGTTTACACATTTCTTACAAAGGTTTACACAGTTGTTACATAGGTTTACACATTTCTTACAAAGGTTTACACAGTTGTTACAAAAGTTTTCCCTATTGTTACAGAGATTTACAAAGGTTTACTCATTTTTTCAAAGGTCTACACGGTGGTTACGAAAGTTTGCCCTGTTGTCGAGAGGTTTACACGTTTGTTACAAAGGTTTACACGTTTCTTACAAAGGTCTACACGGTTGTTACAAAAGTTTACACGGTCATTTTACTGTTGTTACAGATTTTTTCATAAATCATTGTTAAAGATTTTTAACGCGAAGATTAGCCTTGATTAATGCGTTTGAGTGGTTTTCGTAAAGATTAGCTTTAAGAAGGCTACCAACGGTTCCCAACGCGGCCAGGCGTTTATGTAAAAAAAAATCCACTCGACATCAGCACAATATGCGGACGCGAATTGTAACCAGTCCCCTTGTGTTTGAGTAGTTTACGTTTGTGTGCAAACTAGAGCGTTAAACATGTTTGTCACGTTAGTTGTGGCCGCTGAAAAGTGACGTTTCCCTGCTCATAAAGATACGTTCCTTAAGTTTCAGATCTTTCAGATACGTTTCCCGCGCTAACAGCCTTTTATTCAAATGTCTTTCATACAATTATTACTGTGCTAGAAATCACGTGATACAGTCTGTATATCGCTGGAAAATCTGTAGAATGCTGTATTTGACGAGTTTGAAAGTAAAACATTTAATAATGTTCCGACATGATAGAAACATATTCCTTTATCTGTAAGAGCACGAAGTTTTTTCTCCTGATACACTTTGATTTGATTTCCTGGTTGTGTGTGCCACATATGGTGTATTGCATCATATGTGCCACATAACTCGTTGCGTGCATTCCCGCTAGCGGGATGCAACTTTTACCAAATCCACTGCGTGACACATTTGGTGTATTACATCCTTCGTCATCTAGTTTGTTTAGTCCATAACTCGTTGCGTGCATTCCCGCTAGCGGGATGCAACTTTTACCAATTCCACTGCGTGCCACAAACGATGTTGCATCATCATTGAATAAACATTACGCACTACAACGAACGTTAAGTGTGTCCGTTTTCATTTCCTGTGTTTTTCAAAATAAGTTCTAAAATTATATTCTTTATTTTCGATAGGAATGCACAATGTACTGTCTTTGTTTTGCGCGTTGGTCACGGAGAACAAAGTACTAATGTATTCCAGCAGTTATTCCTTACTAACGAGTGCATCACTGGGTCTCTTGGCTTTATTGTATCCTTTGAAATTTAGGTAATGTATGTATACGAAATTTAGACATTGCATGTGTAGTCAAACCTAGCTGCTTAGCGAGAATTTTTGGGTGAACGGACTTGCGTCCGCTTAATTAAGGAGTTCGCCTGATAGAGGTTTCGTTATTGAGAATTAGCTGTTTGAGACTAAATTTGGGACTTTACGAAAAATAGTACAAGGCCGCCTAATAAAGGTTTGAGTCCGTTCCTTACTTGTGTATTTGTGGTGAATGTATAGTGTATGCACTTGTTGTATTTTGTATCGACCTAATTATAAATCGTTAGAAAACATGAAAGTAATTGTGAGCTATCTGAGACAACAGCTTGAATTCAACTGGTGTATAACTCAGGATTGTATCGCTTCGTGTATTTTATCTTTCTGCGTGTTTTTGAAAAACAATTCTTTTGGTTGTATTTCCATGTTGAACAGTGCTTGAAGAAATCTCAGACGTCATGAAAAGGGCGTAAAATTACGAGGACTGTCCTCATATGGGCACATTACGCAATTTTTTCCTCCATTTTTTACGGCGTCTTTGACGATACTTTGTGTTAGCTTAATTTCTTTAATATACTGTCTGTGCTTGCGTAAATAACAAACATGCGACCATTTTTTTTTCATTTCAGTTACGTGTACATACCAATATTACCATCTCGACTGCTGGATTTTATCAGTGCCCCAACACCTTTTGTCATAGGTGTTCATACGAGCTATAAATTGAACATTCCCGAAGTGGTGAGTATATTCTTGAAAGTTGTGTAATTATCTTTAGGCAATATGTATTATTTAGGAAATGAAAGATGCTAACTGTGTTTGCTCAGGCTTATGCAAACCTAGGAGACCTTTAGGAGAACTCGAGACCAGATCAGTGCCAGCCTAAGACTGAAGGTCGAGGGTTGCACCTGTTCGAGGTTTCTCACAAACGTCTCTGAGGTTTGCATAAGCCAGTGAAAACACGAAAAACATCTTTTATTTCTTTTATAGAATAACAATATTGCGAAAAAGATAATCATTTAAATTTTTCCTGTAAAATGAATTCATAATTGATTTCCAATAGGTTGCATTTCCTTACTCGAGCTCAAATCGATTTTTTACAGGCTATTGAAAAAAAGCTTTAGACCAATCACTGCACGTGTTTTATTATGTTAATTTATAAAACACAAGATTGTATTCACTGGAGTGTGAGGAGATATACATCCCTCCAACAAACCTTGGCTAGACGAGTATTCGTAGTTGGAAAGCAAATTTCATTATAAAATATTAATGTACCAGACGACTAAGCTAAAGTAATTGTGATTAAAAATTATGTCCCAATCATGATATAAGGGTAACAAAATTCACAGAAAATGTCTGACGTGGCTTGTCAACGCACACCAAGTAGAGCATTAGAGCACTCTCTAGCCATATGTTGTAGACAATACTGCGTAGGCTGTTATGTAGGCTAAGCAGCCCCATCCCTCCATCATAAAAATCATCTGGATCCATACCTGTTGTAGCAGTTTCAATTAAAGTATCATCAAGAAGACTGGGTACTAAACTGATTATCGTATAGCAACGCCATAAATTACTTTGTTTTGCATTAACACGTTTAGAGCGATGTTATTTTGTCGATCTTGATGGTGGTCATGTCAGTATTCCAGAATCTGTCAATCTATCAACCATACCCGAACCTTATTTATCAAGAACAAGACATGCTCTTACTCTGGTGAGTTTTTATTTTTCATAGCGTAATATATTTTAATTCGAAAGGAAGGATTCTTTAAAACAACATCGGTATGTTCTGGTGTGATCGAGGCTTGTAATTGGTGCGGAAATCCTAAATCTACAAACCGAATAATTAGCAGCATTTACCTTATGAACAAGATCGGTTTTGATTTGTCAACTACCTACAAACAACTCCTGATCTTTATGATTATGGCGTCTTACGTTTCTACAAATTATAGTTTCTATAATTATTGACGCCATTTAAAGCCGGTTTTGAAAAAAAGTCGAATGATAGTAAGATTTGCCACAGTTTTTTAAAAACGATATGCTAAAGCTTTTGAACAAAAATGATGCGGAAAACATAAAAAAAAAGCGACGAAGCTGCCTTTAAACATATATACAACACATTTAAAGGAGAAGAACTTGAATAAACCGTCTGAAAAGGACAAATTAGAGAAGGTTTTGAAAATGTTTTACATCGATATGTTTCAATAGTACGTATTTCAGTTGGTTAAAGTGAGAAATAAAACAATTATCGAATTCGGCTTTCGCTTGATATCGAGAATTGTTCAGACCTCGGTCAATGTTATTCGCTTCGGAAGATAACATTGACCTCTGTCTGAAAAATTCTTGATATCATGGTCAACCTCATGCAATAATTGTTTCGTCATCATTGTCTGATTCACCCAATCGGAAAACCTCCTTATACGTATGTATTGGGTTTACTTGTTATGAAAACATGGAACGCAATGGACCTTTTAAATGTCGGTTTCCAAAAATCACTTATTCACCAACGTTGGATTATTGAAAGCAGCGCTATTTGACAGGATTGAATAGTTTCCACATCTTTCCGTATAATTCCATTTTATTGTATTGAATTTTTTTCTTCAAGGTTCTCAATCCATATCTTGTCGTATCTGATCTAACATTTCCACCTCACGTCAACCCATCACCTTTAAATCTTCAGGTAATCGTCGATTATGATGTAAAATACGGTGATTTAGCTAACACGACGTTTCTTCTAAAACGTTGTCAAATTTTCGCGAGGATCTGGGTCTAGGACGCCACCACGTTGTAAAGTATTTACGATTTGGTAAACCTTTTGTAGGACTTCGTCAAATGATAGTATGAAACAAGTTTCATCCATTTCGGCATTTTTCCTGCTGAATCGTGTTTTCCTATAATTTTTAACTAATTCCTTGATATCAAAAATATACTGCAGTATACCATTTCAATAAAATTATAAATAAAAGCAAAATCATCGACATGCTGCTTTGTGACTAAAATTGTTTTGACACCGAGGAAACCCCCGAAATTAGAGCAGACTCCGCGTTGTTTATTTGTTTGTTTTTTTCGCTTTAGGAAACAGAATATTCGCAGTTTTTTCTTAAATGAATAAATGTAGGCCTATGTAATCTTTTAACATGCAAATATCAAAGCTATTTCCTTATTTTGTCCAAAATTAAGTTTGTTTCAGCCGTCGTCGATACGACGTCAAATTGTATGTTTTCACGTCTTCGTCGTCAACACAACTGCCGTCGTAGATTGAACCGGAAGTAAAAGGCGCATGCCACGCCATTTTCACGGCGTCTTAGACGAAACGTCGTGTTTGCTAAATCACTCTAATATATCACTTTAACGTTTGTATATGACGTTCTGGCGGTTCTGCACTACGACTTAAATATACATACGGTTTTGTTCACTTTTCCTAAAAAACATCACAAAACTTGAAAAAAGGGTGACTTTTACCCTGCAGACTTCATAATATGTTTATCGAAACATCGGGGACTCCATGATCAAAATAAAATGATTTACATGTTTTACATTATCAACTCTGGTCTCTGGAACGAAACTGAGACGAAAATCACCCCATCGCATCGTTTTGTTTTTTACCAAGGGCTGAGTTATTTGAGCATGCGTAGTCTGATTGTTGTCAACTAGACATGATTTTTATGTTTTATATTTCGCGTGTTTTTTTAGATTAGAATCCCGGTAATTTCATCCATGGAGATGAGATTTTCCTTGTAAACGCAATAAATTATACATCTCACTTAACGGCCCTCAGTTCAGCCAATGTTTGAAAATGAATCATGTATTCAGCCCATCGAAATAAAATACATGGAACGCTACCTGTAATACAAAACCCTAATAATTTTTTTGAAGCCGTGATTTTACCCCAGACACGCGAGATTTCACCCCAGACACGCGTGTGTAGTCAATGAATTATTACTCCGCGAGAGAATCTCGAAGCACTACACACGCGTGTCTGGGGTAAAATCTCGCGTGTCTGATGTAAGATTTGGCTTCAATTATTTGCTTCAGGTAGCGTTCCATGTATTTTAGTTCAATGATCCAGCCCCTAAGTTTAGCGACGTCGTATGCGTTCCCGCTATTTAAGTTATTTAGTTATTTGGATATTGGCGCACGTTTCGTCGGCGTTGGCCGATTCAGACCACGTTCACACTGTGCCGTTAGATGTTCGTTCTTTTTTTGCTGTTTTGTCGACACTACGCCGGCTTTCAGTTTGTTTCAGTTGTATTTATTTGAAGTCTACCTGTTTTTGCTGACCTTATATATCCCTGTGACAGCTGTGTTCAAATATTTTATCGCGTCATTATTGGCAGAGAAAAAATTTCGCTGAACCGTAATAAAATTCTTACGTCAATGCGTTCACACGCAACGGAAACGGCAAAATTTTTTGTATCGTTTTCAAACTGTTACCAATAGCCGTACCGCTTTCAAATTAGTACAGTGCTTTCATACTATTTCAATCGGTATCGTTTGTAAATCCTACCCCCAAACTGTAAGAGATTTGCATCGTTTTCAAACTCTACGGGTATCGTGTGAACGGGGTCTTAGACGATATTTAGAACAAGTGTGAGGTAGGCGTGGACTGGCACGAGTTTTGTCGTCAGCGTTGGAAACAAGCTCTTATACACGAACTGTACGTTTCTTAAAAATTTATTTTTTCAGGATAAAGAAGTTCGTGCGATATTCATGCGCTTGTTTGCTCAATTATTTTCTGGATACAGATCATGTTTAAAAGTAATAAGAATTCATCCTAAACCAGTCATCACATTTCATAAGGTAAATGAAAACGAAAATTCGCAACCCTTCTATCAATCATTTAAAATAGACGACAAATTTCTTTATGTCAAACATCCAATGTTCGGAAAACAGCTAAGGAAACCTTTCCTTCATATTTCTGTGCCAAGTCGTAAATAACGTTTCCTTAATTTCACGAGAGCGCAATGGTTATAAGACATTTAAAATAGACGACAAATTTGTTTATAGCAAACATGTTTCGGCATACTTTATGATTTCCGAACATTGGATTCACTTCGCACTGCAGATGGGATAAAGTACGCCGAAACATGTTTGCTTTAAAGAAATTTGTCGTCTATTTTAAATGTCTTATAACCATTGTGCTCTCACGAAATTATGGAAACTTCTATCAATACAATTAAGGGAGGGGGGATTGTGTTCCTAAAGCTTTATTTTTCTTCGTCTAAAGGCACCATTATTTGTTATAACCACATTGACAGTGTATTTAAAAAGACAATGCGGTGATCACGTGTTTATCCACGTGTTTAGTGTGTTTAGTGCCAGTATACTTTTCCTTTACTCGTTGTTTTCTGTGTTTGCTCCAATAATTTTCTGTAATTGCCTTATAAAGTAAATAATCAAGTTTATCGTGAGAAACCTGATTAAAACAAGAGACGGCAGCCATGTTTTTTTGCTACTCGCTATATGTGAAAAATTATGTAGCGAGTATCGTAGCCAATCAAATTAACGCATTTACAACTGAATACTTGTATGATTCTGCTATAATCATTACTAATGTGATCTCTATAATTGTAGGCATCTTTTACTGAGAAGCGGGGTGTTTTGGGCGATGATTTTTTTAATAAGGTTTGTTTCCATGTTTCCATGTCTCTAATATATTAAAGTTTCTAATTGCTGCACATGCTTTTTTTATCAATTTTCTGTTCATACATGTACATATCCACTTAATATACATTTGGGATGTATCAGAGAAGTGTATCCATAGATCTACAACTGCACATACACTTCTTAAAATCATTCTTTCACCCAAATATAGTTGGGGTGTATCAAAGAAGTGTATCCATGTATGTGCAGCTGAGTACATCCATGTACATTTCTTGTTAGAATCATTACATTCACCCATATATAGTTGGGGTGTATCAGAGAAGTGTATCATGTATGTGCAACTGAGTAAACACATGTACATTTCTACATAGAATCATTGCTTTTATTTGTATACAGTTGCGGTGTATCAAAGAAATAAAATACAATACAACTTTATTTATACACGGGAAAAAATAATGTTAAAACTCTACTTTTGTACATCTGTATTTGTTCTTTGTGTCATTCTTTTCTTTGAATGCACACAGTTCTTTTGTTGTTGCAAAATATTAGTCTATACTCTGACAAGTTGCTTGTTTTTTTTCCCTATAGGTTTTAGATAGTATAAGTTTTAACCAATTTATTACGGAACGTGGTCCTCCACATAGAACATGTGATCTATTTGATGACGTAAGTTTAATTTTATGGAGAAGTTTTGATTATATACGAATTACATGAATTATTTGTTTAGAATGAAATGTCGGAAATGATTGTACGAAGCTATTTTTTATGTTTTATTGATCAAAATATTTGCAATATTTCCTTATCGAAAGATCAAGGACTTTCAATTCTGTGAATCGCTACGATTTTTGTTATTTAACATCACGACCAAAATTTCATTTCATTAAGTAATCATGAACAAACAAATAAACAAATTGAAAAATTACGAAAACGAAAATTTCAAATTACAGATTTTCAAGTGGAAACAACTCAAACTAATGTCTTCAAGCTAAATAAAATACACTCGCCATTTCAAAATATTGCAACTAATTTTTTTGTCGATATTTAAAGCTCGTGGCCAACATCGACGAGGTATTGACGAACGAAATGAATCTTGATGCAGAGATCTGCGGAAATATTAAACAAATCGCCAAGAAACTTTACGATAATGTATGTCCACGTCTGTACGCTTTTCGTAATTTGATCAAGAAACACATACCTTGTTTATTTTTATCTTTGTTGATAGTTTTAACATGTCTTTTTAACTCCGGACTTTTGTTCGGTATTTGCAGGAATCAAGTAATTGCGCCGAAGATGATATTCACAATTTCCTTGCGCCACTCAAAGAAAATCAGCCCACCGTTTTCCCGTTACTCGACTCGTCTATCATCAATAAACAACTTGCTGATTACGATGCCAGCGCAGGGGATCCGACAGCGAATCGTGTTCAGTCATTTGGCAAGGTCCCGTATGGATCAGGAGAATTTAGTTTTCAAACAAAGCACTATATTAACGTTCGCAAGCTGGACGTTCTTCGTGACTGCGTCGCTTACATATTTGAGAATAAGATTTCGGAAGCCAGAAAGGTTTGAAATTGTTTGGGCCCGTAGCTTTCTTCTTTTCCGTAGAATTTTTTCTCACACATTGACGAAACTCGCGATTGTGTTGCTCTTTGAAAAACAGATGAATTCATCGTCGGTTAGATCGATTTTTTGTACTGGGGCCTGTTGCACGAAGCCTGGATAGCGTTATCCACTGGACAGCAAATTTTTCTGAACTTTCATAAAATCTCTTAAAACAAAAAAATGTACAATTTGAACTGTGCAATCGCTGAATTAAAATATTGTTTCGAAGATTACAAAATTTCTTTGTCGTGAGAAAACATAAACGCCCTTTTACAAGTTTCAAAATTTTCGCTATTCAGTGGATAGCGCTATCCAGCCGTCCCTGACCTCTTAAGTTATTTTGTTCCAAGTTTAAAGCGAATGCTTTGAACTCAGAAGCATCTTAACATGTGTAGGTGTTGAATGTCGAAGTTAGTGCAGTTCAATCTTGAGGACTTTTTGTGTTTGTATTGACTTGACTTCCGTTTTAGAGTTTTGATACGTCATTGAGCAATTCTCTAGGGCAGTTTACATGAGCCCATTAACCGGGATTCAGCGAGGGGTGAAATAATTTTGAGTCATTGAAAGGAGTAAAAACTTTAAGCGCAAAACTTACAACCTTTTCTAAAGCGTCATAAATCATTTTAGTTGTAATTTTCAAATCAGGCTAAATTACTTGTTTTCATTTTAAAGGTTTTGTGAATTTGCAAAGTCAGAGCTTAGAGGAATTGCTCAAATAAGTTTTTTGTTGTGAAGTATTTAATCTTTTCCATTTGCCAAAATGACTTAACGCTCCGCTGACTCCCGGCTACACGGGCTTATGTAATCAGCCCGTTAGCAATGCAATGGTCGACACCTACTAACATTCTGACAAATATATTGCTCTGAAGAGCAGTTTTTCTTCCACGTTTTCATGTCTTCACATCAGTAGCTGGTACATTGGCATAATCAAGCTTTCCAGACCATTACTGCTTGTGTTTTTTCAGGCATTACCCTCCGTTCAAAGGGCGTTGAAGTCACGTGGAGCACAACTGGCGTTATGTCAAGAGCTTGCTGCACGTTCTGAACAACATAGAGCTGTTCTTGAACATGATCAGTTTGTTTTGGTTATCACATTAATGAACTGTGCATTACAGGTATGTTTTAAATGCTTGAGAAATTTTCAAGGTATGTTATAAATGCTTGATAAATTTTGAATTACAGATACTTTTACTTATGTGTACTTACTGGGATAGATTTACTTGGGCTGCGAAGAGAGAGTGTATCCGAAATTTAACAAAAAATATTCTTGATTTTCCACGGCGACAATTTCTACTTTCTCGTCTTTAAAAGCAGGCATTGAACAATCATCGTAAATTCAAGCAACATTTGTATCTTGTTAAAACCATCTACTGCTTTTATACAGGATGATGCGAGTTTGAGCGATGGTGCTGTTGCATCAGCCTTACTTCCTTTGACGTCAGAGTTTTGCAGGGTAAGTATGTACACAGAATGATATTTTAAGTCATTACGTATTTAAGATTATTACGTATCTGTATGGGAGTTGTCGATGGATGATCGCGGACAACCATCCTTTGTTCATGTTAGGACACCTTTGCACTTTAGGTACACTACATAATGTTAAAAGGCATGTAAAAGGAAAAAATTAAATTTTGGTGATTTAAATTATGTTTTCATTGAACCCTAAAACTTTGTTCATGTTAGGGACACCTTTGTACTTTAGGTACACTACATGATGTCAAAGGGCATGTAAAAGGAAAAAATTAAATTTGGTGATTTTAACCCTAAAGCAGTTTAGTCTTACGTATCTCTGTCCATTCTGAAAATGTGGAGGTTTGCTAATGTCGAGGTTTGCTAATGTCGAGGTTTGCTAATGTCGACGTTTTCTAATGTCGACGTTTGCTAATGTCGACGTTTGCTAATGTCGAGGTTTGTTAATGTCGAGGTTTGCTAATGTCGAGGTTTGCTAATGTCGAGGTTTGCTAATGTCGAGGTTTGCTAATGTCGAGGTTTGCTAATGTCGAGGTTTGCTAATGTCAAGGTTTGCTAATGTCGAGGTTTGCTAATGTCGAGGTTTGCTAATGTCGAGGTTTGTTAATGTCGAGTTTTGCTAATGTCGAGGTTTGCTAGTATCCGATTTTCAAAACCACCTGTGTCATAATGAAAAATGTACAAACCAGAATAACCTGTTATGTTACTTTAACCGTATGGAGTCCGTTGTTTTGAAATGTTAAGGCTGTAGAATTGTACATGGTATTTTATCCAACAGTTGCCAAGAAACTAAAGGAATTTTTAAATTTGCAACGATCATTATGACGTCAATATGACGTCACAGGTGGTGTAAATCGGATATTACCAAAATTTCAGTATTTCGATGATAAAAAAGATATGAATGCACAGTTTTAGAAGTATACTGTCCTTTTTAGAGTAGTCTTTAATAACAATTTAAATCAAATAGCAAGATTTTCGTTTCACTGTCCCTTAAAGTGGTGAATTCGACATCTGCGTGTAACAAATTTGCATTTTTTTATTGAAATATCTCTGAATAAAAATTACATATTTGTTTATGGCAATCGCTTTCGTTAAACTGTAACTAAACAAATATCTAAACCAGTTTCATGGCTAGAAATCACGGACAACATAACGACAGATTAGCTAAATTATGCGCACAAGTCATTAGTTTTTAGAAAACAAGATGGCTGAAGTACTAAACCGTTCAACTGTGAAATTACAAAACTGATGCGCACAACTAGAGACGAAATGATTTGCAAGGTGCACAAGTCCAAAAATAACATACAATAGCAGATGTTTTCGCTGTAAGTTCGTTACCCTTGAAGAGTTGCCATCATGTGACGCGAGCTCACCCAAGTGGAGACATTTCCTCACAATACAAACCTGTATTAAAGTCCACGAAGCTCCTTACTTCTTACGTTTAGCTAAATATGGCTTTGTCCGAACTGTTTGCTAGCAAGTTGCACACGTCTAATCTTGTAGTACGATGTTTAAACTGTCGTTCTGTATAGGTTGTAAAAACTGTAGTTCTGTATAGGTTGTAAAAACTGCCGTTCTTTATAGGTTGTAAAAACTGTCGTTCTGTATAGGTTGTAAAAACTGTCGTTCTGTATAGGTTGTAAAAACTGTCGTTCTGTATAGGTTGTAAAACTGTCTTTCTGTATAGGTTGTAAAAACTGTCGTTCTGTATAGGTTGTAAAAACTGTCTTTCTGTATAGGTTGTAAAAACTGTCGTTCTGTATAGGTTGTAAAAACTGCCGTTCTTTATAGGTTGTAAAAACTGTCGTTCTGTATAGGTTGTAAAAACTGTCGTTCTGTATAGGTTGTAAAAACTGCCGTTCTATATAGGTTGTAAAAACTGTCGTTCGTTATAGGTTGTAAAAACTGTCTTTCTGTATAGGTTGTAAAAACTGTCGTTCTGTATAGGTTGTAAAAACTGTCGTTCATTATAGGTTGTAAAAACTGCCGTTCTGTATAGGTTGTAAAAACTGTCGTTCTGTATAGGTTGTAAAAACTGTCGTTCTGTATAGGTTGTAAAAACTGCCGTTCTGTATAGGTTGTAAAAACTGTCGTTCTGTATAGGTTGTAAAACTGCCGTTCTTTATAGGTTGTAAAAACTGTCGTTCTGTATAGGTTGTAAAACTGCCGTTCTTTATAGGTTGTAAAAACTGTCGTTCTGTATAGGTTGTAAAAACTGTCGTTCTGTTTAGGCTGTAAAAACTGTCATTCTGTATAGGTTGTAAAAACTGTCGTTCTGTATATGTTGTAAAAACTGTCGTTCTGTATAGGTTGTAAAAACTGTCGTTCTGTATAGGTTGTAAAAACTGCCGTTCTGTATAGGTTGTAAAAACTGTCGTTCTGTATAGGTTGTAAAAACTGTCGTTCTGTTTAGGCTGTAAAAACTGCCGTTCTGTATAGGTTGTAAAAACTGTCGTTCTGTATAGGTTGTAAAACTGTCGTTCGTTATAGGTTGTAAAAACTGTCTTTCTGTATAGGTTGTAAAAACTGTCGTTCGTTATAGGTTGTAAAAACTGTCTTTCTGTATAGGTTGTAAAAACTGTCGTTCTGTATAGGTTGTAAAAACTGTCGTTCATTATAGGTTGTAAAAACTGCCGTTCTGTATAGGTTGTAAAAACTGTCGTTCTGTATAGGTTGTAAAAACTGCCGTTCTATATAGGTTGTAAAAACTGTCGTTCGTTATAGGTTGTAAAAACTGTCTTTCTGTATAGGTTGTAAAAACTGTCGTTCTGTATAGGTTGTAAAAACTGTCGTTCATTATAGGTTGTAAAAACTGCCGTTCTGTATAGGTTGTAAAAACTGTCGTTCTGTATAGGTTGTAAAAACTGTCGTTCTGTATAGGTTGTAAAAACTGCCGTTCTGTATAGGTTGTAAAAACTGTCGTTCTGTATAGGTTGTAAAAACTGCCGTTCTTTATAGGTTGTAAAAACTGTCGTTCTGTATAGGTTGTAAAAACTGCCGTTCTTTATAGGTTGTAAAAACTGTCGTTCTGTATAGGTTGTAAAAACTGTCGTTCTGTTTAGGCTGTAAAAACTGTCATTCTGTATAGGTTGTAAAAACTGTCGTTCTGTATATGTTGTAAAAACTGTCGTTCTGTATAGGTTGTAAAAACTGTCGTTCTGTATAGGTTGTAAAACTGCCGTTCTGTATAGGTTGTAAAAACTGTCGTTCTGTATAGGTTGTAAAAACTGTCGTTCTGTTTAGGCTGTAAAAACTGCCGTTCTGTATAGGTTGTAAAAACTGTCGTTCTGTATAGGTTGTAAAAACTGTCGTTCGTTATAGGTTGTAAAAACTGTCTTTCTGTATAGGTTGTAAAAACTGTCGTTCGTTATAGGTTGTAAAAACTGTCTTTCTGTATAGGTTGTAAAAACTGTCGTTCTGTATAGGTTGTAAAAACTGTCGTTCATTATAGGTTGTAAAAACTGCCGTTCTGTATAGGTTGTAAAAACTGTCGTTCTGTATAGGTTGTAAAAACTGTCGTTCTGTATAGGTTGTAAAAACTGTCGTTCGTTATAGGTTGTAAAAACTGTCTTTCTGTATAGGTTGTAAAAACTGCCGTTCTGTATAGGTTGTAAAACTGTCGTTCTGTATAGGTTGTAAAAACTGCCGTTCTATATAGGTTGTAAAAACTGTCGTTCGTTATAGGTTGTAAAAACTGTCTTTCTGTATAGGTTGTAAAAACTGTCGTTCTGTATAGGTTGTAAAAACTGTCGTTCATTATAGGTTGTAAAACTGCCGTTCTGTATAGGTTGTAAAAACTGTCGTTCTGTATAGGTTGTAAAAACTGTCGTTCTGTATAGGTTGTAAAAACTGCCGTTCTGTATAGGTTGTAAAAACTGTCGTTCTGTATAGGTTGTAAAAACTGCCGTTCTTTATAGGTTGTAAAAACTGTCGTTCTGTATAGGTTGTAAAAACTGCCGTTCTTTATAGGTTGTAAAAACTGTCGTTCTGTATAGGTTGTAAAAACTGTCGTTCTGTTTAGGCTGTAAAAACTGTCATTCTGTATAGGTTGTAAAAACTGTCGTTCTGTATATGTTGTAAAAACTGTCGTTCTGTATAGGTTGTAAAAACTGTCGTTCTGTATAGGTTGTAAAAACTGCCGTTCTGTATAGGTTGTAAAAACTGTCGTTCTGTATAGGTTGTAAAAACTGTCGTTCTGTTTAGGCTGTAAAAACTGCCGTTCTGTATAGGTTGTAAAAACTGTCGTTCTGTATAGGTTGTAAAAACTGTCGTTCGTTATAGGTTGTAAAAACTGTCTTTCTGTATAGGTTGTAAAAACTGTCGTTCGTTATAGGTTGTAAAAACTGTCTTTCTGTATAGGTTGTAAAAACTGTCGTTCTGTATAGGTTGTAAAAACTGTCGTTCATTATAGGTTGTAAAAACTGCCGTTCTGTATAGGTTGTAAAAACTGTCGTTCTGTATAGGTTGTAAAAACTGTCGTTCTGTATAGGTTGTAAAAACTGTCGTTCGTTATAGGTTGTAAAAACTGTCTTTCTGTATAGGTTGTAAAAACTGTCGTTCGTTATAGGTTGTAAAAACTGTCTTTCTGTATAGGTTGTAAAAACTGTCGTTCTGTATAGGTTGTAAAAACTGTCGTTCATTATAGGTTGTAAAAACTGTCGTTCTGTATAGGTTGTAAAAACTGCCGTTCTGTATAGGTTGTAAAAACTGTCGTTCTGTATAGGTTGTAAAAACTGCCGTTCTGTATAGGTTGTAAAAACTGCCGTTCTGTATAGGTTGTAAAAACTGTCGTTCATTATAGGTTGTAAAAACTGTCGTTCTGTATAGGTTGTAAAAACTGTCGTTCTGTATAGGTTGTAAAAACTGTCATTCTGTATAAGTTGTAAAAACTGTCGTTCTGTATAGGTTGTAAAAACTGTCGTTCTGTATAGGTTGTAAAAACTGCCGTTCTTTATAGGTTGTAAAAACTGTCGTTCTGTATAGGTTGTAAAAACTGTCATTCTGTATAAGTTGTAAAAACTGTCGTTCTGTATAGGTTGTAAAAACTGTCGTTCTTTATAGGTTGTAAAAACTGTTGTTCTTTATAGGTTGTAAAAACTGTCGTTCTGTATAGGTTGTAAAAACTGCCGTTCTTTATAGGTTGTAAAAACTGTTGTTCTTTATAGGTTGTAAAAACTGTCGTTCTGTATAGGTTGTAAAAACTGCCGTTCTGTATAGGTTGTAAAAACTGTCGTTCTTTATAGGTTGTAAAACACCAGTGTTTTGCCTCGTGCGGCGATATTGCTTTAAACACTGAGATACTCACGGAAGTTTAAATCAAACGCTTTATCCATTGCAAGCCATCGCTCCAAACATTTTGCCCAAATACAACTCTTGAAATTGTTCTATCGCGTTCGCCATTTTACAAATATTTGAAAAGCAAGCCACCAACAAATAACTGCTAGGAAAACAGTTTACACATACTAAACAACGAACGTCCAGGTGCGAGGATGACATTTAGCGCCAGTCATCGCCTACTCTGACAGTCTATGATTTCTACCCACGTAATAAATACGCATAAAAACGGTCTGAATGGTTTGTCAGAAAACACATCAGTTCAATTACTGTTATTCTGTTTCAGAACCTAAAACCAGGAGTGATGCAATTTGCATACACTTGCGTTCAAGAACATCCCATTTGGCAAAATCCGCAGTTTTGGGAAGAAACGTTCTTTAGCGATGTTCAAACGGATATAAAGCATTTATACGATGGAACAAGCACTAAAAAGAGGCTATCCACCGATAAACGTAAGCAAATTACTAATTCTCGTCCATGAATTACCACGTTATTAAGTTCTGTTAAGAAATAATATGTTTTTCGTGTTTGCTCAGGTTAACTCTCGTGCAGATCAATTGAATAACAATTTATTTTCAAATTTTCTTTGATCGATTTAATTGATTGAGCTCGTATCTGTTTGCAAAGACTAATGCAAACTCAGCCATAGACCAGTCAGATGCAAACTCAGCCATAGACCAATCAGATGCAAACTCAGCCATAGACCAATCAGATGCAAACTCAGCCATAGACCAATCAGATGCAAACTCAGCCATAGACCAATCAGATGCAAACTCAGCCATAGACCAATCAGATGCAAACCCAGCCATAGACATTTCAGTGCACGGGTTTTGTTGTGTTTTTTTTAATCAATTATAACACCCATTAGTGCACTAACTGACATCGAGTTATTGTTTTAAGCTTGTAACAAACATATAATTTCTTAGTCCCTCTACACAAAGAGTTCAAGGTATATTGAACGTACTTCGTCTGTCCTTTGTTATAATAGTTTTTCGAATGCAAGCAGTATTGGCGACAGTTTGTCTTACCACATATTTTCACTCTTCGTTGACATTTTGTTGTGGCTTATGGGATTTACGTAGAAAACTGTTCCAATATGTGAAGATTCATTTCATGAAAAGTTTAATCGCTAAGTTTTGAATAAAACTCTTAGGTAACAATGTTCTATAAGTGTTTTCGTGTCCCCATTTCAACCCACTCTTTTCCCTGTCAATGGCAAGTTCAGGCATTTCCACACTGGCATTATAGACCTTATAAGGGAAAAAAAGTTGAACATTTTTTGTTGCAGTGTTAGCCCATAGTTCTGGCATTTTTGAACGCCTATCCACTCCACGAAACTCACGGAACAGCCTCACGCAAGCATCGCCTCCGTCATTAGTACCAAAACAAGACCTCATTGTTATCACGAAATCTGGTATCTACCCGCAGGATGTATCTGATTCTGATTTGATAGTGAATGATGAAGCGTTAGATATTGCTGCTAAGCAGGTGAGGCTTACTTTTCACTCGAATGTGTCTTTACATGAAGATTATTTGTCTTCTTATCTTAATGGCGAGAGAAACCATTTTGTCGAGGCCTTACTTAAATAGGCTAAATGCATTTGGATGAAACGTGCTGCGTGAGTTAGCAATGAAGAATTGTGCGTGTCTTGTTGAACATGTTTGTTCCTGATGCTTTGCCTTAAGACACAAGTTCGGTTGTCATGATTCATTCTTTTTTTCTTTTGCAATTTTCGTATCGGTTTCTTTTAGCAAATACAGAGTTCTTTCCTTTTTCTTTTTTAAACCACACTTTTTTATCCTCTTGTTATCAAAATGATACCTATATGTTTTGTTACATGTTTGTAAATGTAGATCGTCCAGGTTGGTATAGTCCTGAGAAGGACAGTTTTTGTAGTTGTTGACTGACGTTTCGACAACCTTAGCAGTAGTCATCTTCAGAGTCATGAAGATGACTACCGCTGAGATGACTACTGATGACTCTGAAAATGACTACCGCTAAGGTTGTCGAAACGTCAGTCAACAACATCAATACCAACAGTCCTTCTCGGGACTATACCAACCCTGACGATCTACATCCACAAACATGTAACGATACTCCCGGGTTCAAACCATTTTATTACGATTTGTCTCCAGTTTTCAAATCAAGTTTTAATGTTTTCTTGGTTTCATTCAGCTTGGCATGTGGGAAACATTTTCAAAAGATTCACAAAAGACATACGTAACAAACGAGGAAAGCATCGTGTTCAGCCAAGCCATCCACTTCGTCAATCGTATGGTGTATCTCATGATACCCCTCAGTGTCTCTCAAATGGTTAAACCAAAGAAGAGACGTCAAAACGATGTCATTCTAGAAAATACTGGTGAGCGTCTTTCTACTTTAAATTGATATTAATATATTATTGTTTAAAGTATATTCCTCGGGTCCAGGACTTTGGATGTTTTGTCTTCTTTTGTACTTATTACAATCAGATAGAATCAATCAAAATCCACTAGTCGATCTAGAGCACTTTAAAGGCGCTTTTATTATTTTTACGCTGTTATCGAATATCTTTGATTATAATTTGGTATTTTTAGGGGTGAAAGAGAACGTAGATGGATCCATTGCAAACACTAGTATTGGATCAGATGGTCGTGCTAATCCCGGTAAAATTGTTCCTCGAAGTACAAATGGATCTGTCAGTGATGTCAATGATACCACCACGGGTAAGAATAAACAATTTCCGTGTTTTGATGGCCGGACCCAAACATACGGGAACTAAGCGATATTAAAGAAAAGCGCGGGAAACACGTCCTAAAAACGAGTGTTTGCACTGTTTTTCTTGACTCGAGCAACATTCCAAAATGTTTGGATTATGACATCCAAACACTTGAAAGCGTTAAATTATTTTTACATAAAATAACTTTAGTGTAGTGTGTTGTTAACTTTAAGCGGAAATACGAAAATTAAACTATATCTAGCGAGCAAAGCTGTAAAGGTTAGTAAAACGTAGAATTACAGCGAGGCTTTTGAATTTAAAAGCTTAGAAAAAACACCAATGCTGATTTAAGTTTACATTTCAAATGCCAGAAATGAACTCCAAGTCAATTTAGGCAAAAAAAATCGGCTTTGCTTTCAGGCATGTTCAAAATTCTCACGACAACAATTCAATTTCCATGTTTGGATGGCCTAATGCAAACACGATCATCGACCAATCAGAGCACGCGTTTTGCACATTTTAATTGATAAATTTCTTCATTCATTCTTAGGGAAAATAATTACCGAAAAAAATTCCCATGTCTAAAGAGTTCAACACAACACAATTACGGTTTTACCACATTGTTTTCCGAAAATCTGAAAGGACCTAAATTCTAAAAACAAGAAATTTGTACGTGGTCAACCCAAAGAATGGATAATGTAAACAAAGTTTGCCATGGGATATGTTTTATGTTTTAGGGGTGGGTAGTGTGTATGGGGACGTCCATGCTGGTGACCACTGGGAAGATGATGAAACGGACACAATTATTGATGAAGTGACGAGATTTGTTATTCGCTTTGTGGATAGAGTTGGAACAGTTGCAGGAATTTCAACCGACCATTTGAAGTCTCTTTACAGCTTGGTGCCAAGTAGGGATATTTTTTTGTGTGTGTTTTGAACACATTTACAATAGAAATTTGTTATCTTACGAAGTACTGCATCTTTTTGATTTTCCACTTGGGTATTCCTAAAAAATTTTACGATCCCAAGATCAATTCGGGAAGCATGTGAAACCTTGATTGAAATTTATGTTTAAGGCTGTCCAGTAAGCAGCCAAAGTCTTTCTTTCGAAGTGAAACCTTGAATGAAATTTATGTTTGAGGCTGTCCAGTAAGCAGCCAAAGTCTTTCTTTCGAAGTGAAACCTTGATTGAAATTTATGTTTGAGGCTGTCCAGTAAGCAGCCAAAGTCTTTCTTTCGAAGTGAAACCTTGATTGAAATTTATGTTTAAGGCTGTCCAGTAAGCAGCCAAGGTCTTTCTTTCGAAGTGAAACCTTGATTAAAATTTATGTTTGAGGCTGTCCAGTAAGCAGCCAAGGTCTTTCTTTCGAAGTGAAACCTTGATTAAAATTTATGTTTGAGGCTGTCCAGTAAGCAGCCAAAGTCTTTCTTTCGAAGTGAAAGCTTGATTGAAATTTATGTTTGAGGCTGTCCAGTAAGCAGCCAAAGTCTTTCTTTCGAAGTGAAACCTTGATTGAAATTTATGTTTGAGGCTGCCCAGTAAGCAGCCAAAGTCCTTCTTTCGAAGTGAAACCTTGATCGACTGATTCAAAGTCTGCTATGGGGCTGAAATCGAAAAAAAATGACATTGTATTGAATTTTTATGCCCATATTATAGTTTCTATAATGTCTACTACAATTTTCCGTTAATATTTTTGAATTACGTTAAAAGTGTAAGACGGGTTATAAACGACAGGACTGCTATCTTGTGATGCCGTAGATTTTATTATTGTATTTCAGGTGTGGTGACTATGCACACAGAATCACTGGAACCAGTTTACAGAGAATATAAACAACTTGCTCCTATTCGAAAGGTACAACTACGATACAGAAATGTATTTATACGTAATTTTCAAAACATTCTTGAGGACTGTGAAAGAACAATAATCTTAGAGTATTTACGTAACAAAACCCATCTATATCGTTTCTCGTTGAAAATTGTCGGCAAGTTATATCCATATTGTAAAATCACATTTGCAAAATCAATGCACAAAATTTCGTTGCATCGATGGCAAACTTGTCTGGTTTTGTTTGATGTAGATAAGGATGTATAAATATCATAGAAAATGTAATTTCTCATCCTTTGCTATATCAATAGGCTAAAATAATCCGACCCGCCATGTTGCCTCTTGAAGAAATGCAAATGGATGGACTTCGCTGTTATTTAATTCCGGATGGTCGGGAGACTGGCACTGGTGTGCATTATGGCGGTCCTGTTATGTTCCTGCGGAAGGCGCTGTATTTGTTACTAATTATCGGATTATATTTAAAGGAACTCCTCTTGATGAATTTGGTGAGTTTAAACGTTATCAAAACTAATTTCGGTTAGTGGATGTTGTGCATACGTAGATTGTATTGGTGTTTTGTTTTTGTTTTATTGGTGGAGGCTCGCAGTTTTTACAATATAATTTTATCTATGTCAAGACTTCATGTTATCATACCTTTTTTCATACTTGGTATTTGTTGTTTGTTTTTTAAAGTTTGTTCTTTCGAGTTTGGTGTGCTAAGATATTTTACCAGTGGTTGCTATAGGACTATGAGTATATGACATGAGCAAATAACTATTTTTGTCCAAAGTATTCTTTCTTTGTTTCTAAATAAATACCGACAGTTCCAATTGGCTTGTGTCATTTAAGCCAAGATACCAAGATCTGAAGAACGGGCATTGTTTTTTACTTTAGAAGGAGCCCAGTTCGCCGAGGAAAATTGTGCCGGTCGAGTGTAAACGGAAAACACTGTTTTCGAGATTTCAGTCAATAAGTTTTTTTTGTTATATACCCATGAGAAAACAGAGAACAACGTACATAAACGAAATACTTACTTTCGCAAAGGAATGTTTAAATAAAATAGTAAAAAAAATTCCCGCTCTTTTTTAATCGAGATAAGACACTAACCAATGTCGGGCAAAGGTCGCGCTTTTACGATATGACAAACGTGACTTTTCATCATCTAACAGTAGATAATGTATTATCTATCTTAGGTACGCTTGAGTTACTTGTATGAAAACAATGGGAAAAATGAACTTTGAAAATGCGTATTTAACAATGTAATTTAAATTTCAGCTTCAGAAATGATCGTGACGAGAAGTTTTCCAATTGGATCCTTAGTGAGAGATAAGAAACTCCCAGCTCAGTATTTGCGACATCTTAGATCTTGGTTGCAAGAATGTGTTCAATTGCGATCTGCGACGTTTCAGGTTTTTGACTCCATGCATTGATAACGTAGAGCTGATTGAATTCTCCCAGGCGTTAATAGGATTCTGACTGTCGTCAGTAAAGTTTTCAAAACCTAAAAATTTGCGGGTAGAGACGGGTACCACCCGTGAGGAAGGCTTCTTTAAATATAGTTTTTGAGGATGTTTCAAATTTCAATACTCCCAGTAAGCACATGCATGTACCCATGCTGCACGAATCACATGGCTAACGAGAAAACTTGATTTTACTTTGAGGAATGTTTTAAGGGAATCCTACCCGGGAGGAAGGTTGAACTTTTACAACTCTGTCAAAGCCATTTACACTCTCCAGTCAGTTGACAAAGTCTCCCATAGAAGTGGTCGGTATTATTCACTAGCTGCTTTGCATATGATGAATTATCCCCCGTGTTCTAGAAGCTCACACTCTCTGACTGCTATATAAAAGTGGTTTTCAACGACAAGGTCATGTCTCCATCAATTGGGAGATTTTTTGCTTAACTATTGCAAATCAAGCCATCAGATTAATCAGATTACCGTTTTAGCTTATTAAAACAAGTTATGTGGTAGTAGTAAATCTGTTAAATTGTTCACCACGATGATTTCGTGCCACATTTGGTAGTAGTAAATCTGTTAAATTGTTCACCACAATAATTTCATGCCATATTTGGTAGTAGTAAATCTGTTAAATTGTTCACCACAATGATTTCATGCCACATTTGGTAGTAGTAAATCTGTTCAATTGTTCACCATAATGATTTCATGCCACATTTGGTAGTAGTAAATCTGTTAAATTGTTCACCACAATGATTTCATGCCACATTTGGTAGTAGTAAATCTGTTAAATTGTTCATCACGATGATTTCATGCCACATTTGGTAGTAGTAAATCTGTTAAATTGTTCACCACAATGATTTCATGCCACATTTGGTAGTAGTAAATCTGTTAAATTGTTCACCACAATGATTTCATGCCACATTTGGTAGTAGTAAATCTGTTCAATTGTTCACCACAATGATTTCATGCCACATTTGGTAGTAGTAAATCTGTTAAATTGTTCACCACAATGATTTCATGCCACATTTGGTAGTAGTAAATCTGTTAAATTGTTCACCACAATGATTTCATGCCACATTTGGTAGTAGTAAATCTGTTAAATTGTTCACCACAATGATTTCATGCCACATTTGGCAGTAGTATATCTGTTAAATTGTTTACCACAATGATTTCATGCCAAATTTGGTAGTAGTAAATCTGTTGAATTGTTCACCACAATGATTTCATGCCACATTTGGTAAAGGTAAATCTGTTAAATTTTTCACCACAATGATTTCATGCCACATTTGGTAGTAGTAAATCTGTTAAATTGTTCACCACAATGATTTCATGCCACATTTGGTAGTAGTAAATCTGTTAAATTGTTCACCACAATGATTTCATGCCACATTTGGTAGTTGTAAATCTGTTAAATTGTTCACCACAATGATTTCATGCCACATTTGGTAGTAGTAAATCTGTTAAATTGTTCACCACAATGATTTCATGCCACATTTGGTAGTAGTAAATCTGTTAAATTGTTCATCCACGATGATTTCATGCCACATTTGGTAGTAGTAAATCTGTTGAATTGTTCACCACAATGATTTCATGCCACATTTGGTAGTAGTAAATCTGTTGAATTGTTCACCACGATGATTTCATGCCACATTTGGTAGTAGTAAATCTGTTAAATTGTTCACCACAATGATTTCATGCCACATTTGGTAGAAGTAAATCTGTTAAATTGTTCACCACAATGATTTCATAGCACATTTGGTAGAAGTAAATCTGTTAAATTGTTCACCACAATGATTTCATGCCACATTTGGTAGTAGTAAATCTGTTAAATTGTTCACCACAATGATTTCATGCCACATTTGGTAGTAGTAAATCTGTTAAATTGTTCACAATGATTTCATGCCACATTTGGTAGAGTAAATCTGTTAAATTTTCACCACAATGATTTCATGCCACATTTGGTAGTAGTAAATCTGTTAAATTGTTCACCACAATGATTTCATGCCACATTTGGTAGTAGTAAATCTGTTAAATTGTTCACCACAATGATTTCATGCCACATTTGGTAGTAGTATATCTGTTAAATTGTTTACCACAATGATTTCATGCCAAATTTGGTAGTAGTAAATCTGTTAAATTGTTCACCACAATCATTTCATGCCACATTTGGTAGTTGTAAATATGTTAAATTGTTCATCACGATGATTTCATGCCACATTTGGTAGTAGTAAATCTGTTAAATTGTTCACCACAATGATTTCATGCCACATTTGGTAGTAGTAAATCTGTTGAATTGTTCATCACGATGATTTTATGCCACATTTGGTAGTAGTAAATCTGTTGAATTGTTCACCACGATGATTTCATGCCACATTTGGTAGTAGTAAATCTGTTGAATTGTTCACCACGATGATTTTATGCCACATTTGGTGGTAGTAAATCTGTTAAATTGTTCACCACAATGATTTCATGCCACATTTGGTAGTAGTAAATCTGTTAAATTGTTCACCACAATGATTTCATAGCACATTTGGTAGAAGTAAATCTGTTAAATTGTTCACCACAATGATTTCATGCCACATTTGGCAGTAGTATATCTGTTAAATTGTTTACCACAATGATTTCATGCCACATTTGGTAGTAGTATATCTGTTAAATTGTTTACCACAATGATTTCATGCCACATTTGGTAGAGGTAAATCTGTTAAATTTTTCACCACAATGATTTCATGCCACATTTGGTAGTAGTAAATCTGTTGAATTGTTCACCACAATGATTTCATGCCACATTTGGTAGTAGTAATTCTGTTGAATTGTTCACAACGATGATTTCATGCCACATTTGGTAGTAGTAAATCTGTTGAATTGTTCACCACAATGATTTCATAACACACATTTGGTAGAAGTAAATCTGTTAAATTGTTCACCACAATGATTTCATGCCACATTTGATAGTAGTGTATCTGTTAAATTGTTTATCACAGTGATTTCATGCCACATTTGGTAGTAGTAAATCTGTTAAATTGTTCACAACGATGATTTCATGCCACATTTGGTAGTAGTAAATCTGTTGAATTGTTCACCACAATGATTTCATAACACATTTGGTAGAAGTAAATCTGTTCAATTGCTCACCACAATGATTTCATGCCACATTTGGTAGTAGTAAATCTGTTAAATTGTTCACCACAATGATTTCATGCCACATTTGATAGTAGTATATCTGTTGAATTGTTCACCACGATGATTTCATGCCACATTTGGTAGTAGTAAATCTGTTGAATTGTTCACCACAATGATTTCATGCCACATTTGGTAGTAGTAAATCTGTTAAATTTTTGACCACAATGATTTCATGCCACATTTGGTAGTAGTAAATCTGTTAAATTGTTCACCACGATGATTTCATGCCACATTTGGTAGTAGTAAATCTGTTAAATTGTTCACCACAATGATTTCATGCCACATTTGGTAGTAGTAAATCTGTTAAATTGTTCACCACAATGATTTCATGCCACATTTGGTAGTAGTAAATCTGTTAAATTGTTCACCACAATGATTTCGTGCCACATTTGGTAGTAGTAAATTTGTTAAATTGTTCATCACGATGATTTAATGCCACATTTGGTAGTAGTAAATCTGTTAAATTGTTCACCACAATGATTTCATGCCACATTTGGTAGTAGTAAATCTGTTAAATTGTTCACCACAATGATTTCATGCCACATTTGGTAGTAGTAAATCAGTTCAATTGTTCACCACAATGATTTCATGCCACATTTGGTAGTAGTAAATCTGTTAAATTGTTCACCACAATGATTTCATGCCACATTTGATAGTAGTATATCTGTTGAATTGTTCACCACGATGATTTCATGCCACATTTGGTAGTAGTAAATCTGTTAAATTGTTCACCACAATGATTTCATGCCACATTTGGCAGTAGTATATCTGTTAAATTGTTTACCACAATGATTTCATGCCAAATTTGGTAGTAGTAAATCTGTTGAATTGTTCACCACAATGATTTCATGCCACATTTGGTAAAGGTAAATCTGTTAAATTTTTCACCACAATGATTTCATGCCACATTTGGTAGTAGTAAATCTGTTGAATTGTTCACCACAATGATTTCATGCCACATTTGGTAGTAGTAAATCTGTTGAATTGTTCACCACGATGATTTCATGCCACATTTGGTAGTAGTAAATCTGTTGAATTGTTCACCACAATGATTTCATAACACATTTGGTAGAAGTAAATCTGTTAAATTGTTCAACACAATGATTTCATGCCACATTTGATAGTAGTGTATCTGTTAAATTGTTTATCACAGTGATTTCATGCCACATTTGGTAGTAGTAAATCTGTTAAATTGTTCACCACAATGATTTCATGCCACATTTGGTAGTAGTAAATCTGTTCAATTGTTCACCACAATGATTTCATGCCACATTTGGCAGTAGTATATCTGTTAAATTGTTTACCACAATGATTTCATGCCACATTTGGTAGTAGTATATCTGTTAAATTGTTCACAATGATTTCATGCCACATTTGATAGTAGTATATCTGTTGAATTGTTCACCACGATGATTTCATGCCACATTTGGTAGTAGTAAATCTGTTAAATTGTTCACCACAATGATTTCATGCCACATTTGGCAGTAGTATATCTGTTAAATTGTTTACCACAATGATTTCATGCCACATTTGGCAGTAGTATATCTGTTAAATTGTTTACCACAATGATTTCATGCCAAATTTGGTAGTAGTAAATCTGTTGAATTGTTCACCACAATGATTTCATGCCACATTTGGTAAAGGTAAATCTGTTAAATTTTTCACCACAATGATTTCATGCCACATTTGGTAGTAGTAAATCTGTTGAATTGTTCACCACAATGATTTCATAACACATTTGGTAGAAGTAAATCTGTTAAATTGTTCACCACAATGATTTCATGCCACATTTGGCAGTAGTATATCTGTTAAATTGTTTACCACAATGATTTCATGCCACATTTGGTAGAGGTAAATCTGTTAAATTTTTCACCACAATGATTTCATGCCACATTTGGTAGTAGTAAATCTGTTGAATTGTTCACCACAATGATTTCATGCCACATTTGGTAGTAGTAAATCTGTTGAATTGTTCACAACGATGATTTCATGCCACATTTGGTAGTAGTAAATCTGTTGAATTGTTCACCACAATGATTTCATAACACATTTGGTAGAAGTAAATCTGTTAAATTGTTCACCACAATGATTTCATGCCACATTTGATAGTAGTGTATCTGTTAAATTGTTTATCACAGTGATTTCATGCCACATTTGGTAGTAGTAAATCTGTTAAATTGTTCACCACAATGATTTCATGCCACATTTGGTAGTAGTAAATCTATTAAATTGTTCACCACAATGATTTTATGCCACATTTGGTAGTAGTAAATCTGTTAGATTGTTCACCACAATGATTTCATGCCACATTTGGTAGTAGTAAATCTGTTAAATTGTTCACCACAATGATTTCATGCCACATTTGGTAAAGGTAAATCTGTTAAATTTTTCACCACAATGATTTCATGCCACATTTGGTAGTAGTAAATCTGTTGAATTGTTCACCACAATGATTTCATGCCACATTTGGTAGTAGTAAATCTGTTGAATTGTTCACAACGATGATTTCATGCCACATTTGGTAGTAGTAAATCTGTTGAATTGTTCACCACAATGATTTCATAACACATTTGGTAGAAGTAAATCTGTTAAATTGTTCACCACAATGATTTCATGCCACATTTGATAGTAGTGTATCTGTTAAATTGTTTATCACAGTGATTTCATGCCACATTTGGTAGTAGTAAATCTGTTAAATTGTTCACCACAATGATTTCATGCCACATTTGGTAGTAGTAAATCTGTTCAATTGTTCACCACAATGATTTCATGCCACATTTAGTAGCAGTAAATCTGTTAAATTTTTGACCACAATGATTTCATGCCATATTTGGTAGTAGTAAATCTGTTAAATTGTTCACCACGATGATTTCATGCCACATTTGGTAGTAGTAAATCTGTTAAATTGTTCACCACAATGATTTCATGCCACATTTGGTAGTAGTAAATCTGTTAAATTGTTCACCACAATGATTTCATGCCACATTTGGTAGTAGTAAATCTGTTCAATTGTTCACCACAATGATTTCATGCCACATTTGGTAGTAGTAAATCTGTTAAATTTTTGACCACAATGATTTCATGCCATATTTGGTAGTAGTAAATCTGTTAAATTGTTCACCACGATGATTTCATGCCACATTTGGTAGTAGTAAATCTGTTAAATTGTTCACCACAATGATTTCATGCCACATTTGGTAGTAGTAAATCTGTTAAATTGTTCACCACAATGATTTCATGCCACATTTGGTAGTAGTAAATCTGTTAAATTGTTCACCACAATGATTTCATGCCACATTTGGTAGTAGTAAATTTGTTAAATTGTTCATCACGATTATTTAAAACCACATTTGGTAGTAGTAAATCTGTTAAATTGTTCACCACAATGATTTCATGCCACATTTGGTACTAGTAAATCTGTTCAATTGTTTACCACAATGATTTCATGCCACATTTGGTAGTAGTAAATCTGTTGAATTGTTCACCACAATGATTTCATAACACATTTGGTAGAAGTAAATCTGTTAAATTGTTCACCACAATGATTTCATGCCACATTTGGTAGTAGTAAATTTGTTAAATTGTTCATCACGATGATTTCATGCCACATTTGGTAGTAGTAAATTTGTTAAATTGTTCACCACGATGATTTCATGCCACATTTGGTAGTAGTAAATCTGTTAAATTGTTCATCACGATGATTTCATGCCACATTTGGTAGTAGTAAATCTGTTAAATTGTTTACCACAATGATTTCATGCCACATTTGGTAGTAGTAAATCTGTTAAATTGTTCATCACGATGATTTCATGCCACATTTGGTAGTAGTAAATCTGTTAAATTGTTCACCACAATGATTTCATGCCACAATTGTTAGTAGTAAATCTGTTAAATTGTTCATCACGATGATTTCATGCCACATTTGGTAGTAGTAAATCTGTTAAATTGTTCACCACAATGATTTCATGCCACATTTGGTAGTAGTAAATCAGTTAAATTGTTCACCACGATCATTTAATGCCACATTCATTATTTTATCGCCCTCTTTCGGTAAAAATGATTTATTTGTTGTAGATGTTAAAGCTTTGTTTTGATGAGGAGGTCGGTGCCGAGAAAATTGAACTGTTTCGTAAAACGTTGACGCGATTACGATATCCTTCATCGGTCTTAGACACATTCTCGTTTAAAGAAGCGGACAAGAAACCACCTGCAAAGTTGTTCGCCTGCAAATCCCACCCGCAGAAAGTCAACCGCGCAATACTGGCGCTAGAATACCTCGGGCTGTTAGTGATATTCGAAAGGAAGCAAAGCAAGCGAGAGGATCGATGAAACGAGGCCAAACTCGAAATGGCATATCATCCCCTAGATTACCTAGGAATAATTTTTCATCTGATGGTTCTGTAGAAAGTATGAGCGGCGAACAGGTGAGTGGTTAGTAAGTGTTGATAGTAAATATACCTGGGTGAAGGTGACAATAGACGACTCGTTGTTTGAACGAATAATTTCCGTGGTTTGTTCTATTTTTTACTTCGAGCCGATAACAAATCTTGTTCATATAAGTAGACAATGACCCACTATTGAAGAAAAGGAAGAAAAATATCTTCATAAAGCCGAACGGTGTTTTTTTACATGCATTTATAAAATAAAATCAAACGCGCGCGTTGATTGGTTGGTAGCTGAGCTTGCATTGGCCTTCGCAATCTAATCTGAGGTCAACCAGTTAAATAAATCAAAGAGAATTCGCAAATCAATCATGAATGAGGATTCGCAAAGAGAATTCGCAAATTAATCATGTTGAAGGAAATATTAAAGCGTTGTTTTAAATTTATTTTCCTGTTTGTACATGCTGAATGCAAAATGCGGAGTTTGTCAAGTTTTTCAAACTTATGAGCACATTACTTACCATTAGTTACCATTACTTACCATTACCTACCATTAGTTACCATTAGTTACCATTAGTTACCATTACTTACAATTACTTACCATTACCTACCATTACTTACCATTACCTACCATTAGTTACCATTACTTACCATTACTTACAATTACTTACAATTACTTACCATTACCTACCATTAGTTACTATTACCTACCATTAGTTACCATTAGTTACCATTACTTACCATTACTTACCGTTTCCTACCATTACTTACCATTACCTACCATTAGTTACTATTAGTTACCATTACTTATCATTACTTACCATTACCTACCATTACTTACCATTACTTACCATTACCTAACATTACCTACTATTACTTACCATACCTAAGCATTACCTACCATTACCTACCTTTACCTACCATTACCTACCTTTACCTACCATTGCCTACCATTACTAAGCTCTTAATAACCATTACCTACCATTACTAACCATTACCTACCATAAACTATCATTATTCATTCCCTTCAATACCTACTATTTACCATACGTAACCATTACCTACCATTACCTACCATTACCTACCATTGCCTACCATTACTAAGCTCTTAATAACCATTACCTACCATTACTAACCATTACCTACCATAAACTATCATTACTTGCCATTACCTACAATTACCTACTATTACTTACCATACGTAACCATTACCTACCATACCTACCATTACCTACCATTACCTGCCATTACTAAGCCCTTAATAACCATTACCTACCATTATCTACCATTAATTACTTTATGGTTAGCTTTTCTGCAATGTTATTGGTTATATATATTCTGTTAGGTTGATGGATCTTTTGTGGTACGAAATGCGCCGGTTATTGAAAACTTGAATTCAACCCCGTATTGTGAGGAGTATAAAAGACTTGGCTTTGGCTCTGTACTTGACGAACGTATAGGGAGTAAAAGTGGATCTTGGAGGCTTTCTATGGTCAATCTTTCGTACGCAGCCTGCCGAAGGTAAAGTTATAAGAAAAATGGTGGAGATAATTTTCAATTACAGAATTGTTATGTTCAAAATTTCTGAATAAGACTTAGGAGCATTTAACCCTTTCATTATTGCCATAAGTGTTTTAAAACTCATATTTACTCGTATAATACATTTATTTTGCGAAAGGGTAAGCTTTACAAGTCTTTGAAAAATAAACATGTTTTGACAAAATAGTCATCATATTGTGGATTTTTCTTTCAGTTACCCGGCTGTTTTAGTGGTGCCACAACACGTGACCGATGACTCTTTGTTGCGAGTGTCTAAAAACCATCGCCATATGCGTTTTCCTGTTGCGACGTGGAGACATAAAGTCAATAAATTCGCCGTTTTATTGCGATCTTCTGCCATTGAACGAAGCTCTGTGGCATCCATCATTCGCTCTGGTGTAGCTGCAAGTGGTGGAAGCACTGACGCAATACGTTCATCCAACGTGGAGCAAGATAAATATTTATCTGCCGTTGGTTAGTTGTTTATATTTATCGTTTCAACGCTCGTCCCCTACCCTCACATGTAAGTGCCCCCAGCGCAACGCCCCCTCTCCCACAAACACACAGATCTATCGCCACGCTTGGTATCACAACAATATATATTACTTTACTATATATTACTTAAGTATACGTACGTTGTGGATTCTCGTTTTTTTAAAAATCACATTTTGAAATAAAGTATCCTCAAACAATAAACGAGAACTGATGAAAATGAATTGTATAATTGTTTTTCTAACACTGAGTGATTTAGATATAGCTTGATTTTCTACGCTATTAATTTATGGATACTGTTGATTTTTGTAAGATATGTATCACAATATAAGTATGTAGGGACTATTTGCCATTCTTTAAGTTTTATTAACATTAGCAAATGTATCTGCATTTATCATTTTTTTCTTATGGATCCTAAAGTTTTGCTTTAAGCATTATTATGTGATTATGCAACCGTGATTTTCTATGCTTTTAATTTTAAGTGTCTTCAAATTCTGTATCGTGGAATAAAGCGGAGGCGAAACATCGTTCACTGGCAGCCAACGTCAGCATGTCTAAAGCAACGATGAATCTACGATCAAATGACAAGGCATCTAAACGTGTTTCTGTTGTGGATTCCGTTGACAAAGCAATAACTGAGCAAGGATGGGAGCCTGCTGCACTATACGTTTTTGGAGACAAAAGCAATTTAAAGGTGAGATTTTTTCCTGAAGCTTTGGTGAAAATAGGACTTGACATTTTCTTGCCGCTCGCCCTACGGGCTCGTCTTTACAACAATACTTCGGTCCGTTATTTCTCCGTAAAGACCTCGAGCTCGGTTATTAAGGGCTTAATATAAAGCATACGTATAGTCGTTCACTAACCAAAAAATAATTTATTGAAACGAGCTTTTGCAAATATATAATAATGATAAATTATTTTTGATTATTGAACGATTGCTTTATATTTATAGCAAATTGCTTGTAAAATAAAATTCTTTTTCAGATTAATTAATTGAATATCTTACCTTACCGTTTATCTTTCACAGAATTTAAAGAAAGATTCGTATACCAATATTGATTTTGTTCCTATTGAGGTATGTCATTTTGACTATCGTACAATATGTAGTGTGTAACCTCTTCACCTTAAAACAGCCTGGGAGTGAGGAAACAATGAAACGTTCGCCATGTTGGTTGAAATTTGCGTTGTAAATAAAGAAAATACACTTTCAAAGTCATTCAACATGGAGACCATTACGTAATGTGATAACACCAAGAAAATAGTTGCAACTATACTAAGATTTTACAATAGCAGCTTCAAAATGGACAATGAAATAAAATGTCATGTTTTTATTGCTGTGTGTCCACAATTCTTTCGTTCAAAACAACTTAATTAAAAGCAATCAAGCAAATTTTCAAATGCACATCTTCAATGTACGATCTATTGATCTGTTTAATCAGAGGTCTTTTATTCCTGTCGTACTAGATACCGGATGTACGTGATCTCAAAACCAGCTTACGTAAGTTGTTCAAAGTTTGCTGTCCCAGCAATCCCCCTAAAGATTCCACTCAAGGTGATCCATTTTTCAAGTCGTTGCAAGATACTGATTGGTTGAAGCAGGTATCAGCTGGTTTACGCTGTTTTATATAATATATGTATATTGATGGTTTCAATTGTATTATGATAATCTAACTCATATTTAACAACAGGTTCTCTACTGTGACGTTTCTCAACATGCTGTAGTGTGATTTTTCTAAATTCTAAACTGTTGTTGCTAGACAATTCATTATTTCCGATTCTTGTGTCGTCAAAAAGGATGGAATCGTATTCCAATGTCAAATTTCTTATGTATATTCGGCTGTGTATAGTTTCAGCATGGTAATTCACAGTCTACTCTTATACTATACTCATTTTTGGATATTTGATTTGGATATTACGGGGTGGTGGGGTGGGGTGTGTATCTAATTTTGATTAGGAATTGGTAGCTGCTTGTTGCCGAAAGTCAGGCTATTTTCGTTAAATTGTTCAAACTCTGTTCCATTGAACGCTACAATCGCAATTTCTTTTCCTTAATTGTTTGGTATACTTAGTATTTTGTTGGGAAATTTCCACCCCTCCTGTATTCCATCTGGCCAAAGCTAGAAGTTTTGCATCCTTAGTTGTTATGTATACTTTGTATTTTGTAAGGAAATCGGCACCCCTCCTGCATTCCATCTGGCCAAGGCTAGAAGGGATGCACAACTCTAACATCTCGATCCTAAATTCGTTCTTGTTCTACTGTGAACCATTGGATTGTTTAAGAAATATATTAAATCTCAACTAGCTACGATCCTAAGTCATCAGTCAATAGAAAGGAACATTAGTTTGCGTTTTTCCCATAAAGATAAAACAGCAACCTATGAATAACTCTATCCAACGAAGTATATTTTTATGCCACGAGAACGTTCTTGAAAGATATGCAGAAGAAAGTATTGTAACATAGACTTTTTCCGGGGTTTTTGGTGTATCTCATGCCTATTTTTATTTGTAGTTATCGCTTGTACTTCGGATATCCGGTGCTGTCGTAGATCTTTTGGACATTCAGGGATCATCTGTTCTTGTCTCGTTTGAAGATGGATGGGACATTACTACACAAGTAAGCTTCATTTAAGCACCTAGCTTATGTTATTTATTAACAAAAGTTACTTGTTACGTATGCTCCTATAAAACATTGAGGTCTTGCAAAACATCTTTTATATTGGGTCATACTTCATGTAAGATCTCCTTTTAGTAGCGTGGAGTTTGATCTTTGGTTATACATTGAGTTCTATAAGACCTGGTGGGGAAGGGTGCCTGGACCCGGTTGTCAAAAACATGGCGGTAATGGCGGATTTGGTACATTGAACTAAATATAACTGGAAGGCTACCTTCTGATATATCGGTAACACACGAAATGAAGCCAAAATTTTGCGTGATCTGACCTCCAGACACGCGTTTCTGGTAGTCAAATCACGCGAGTTCGGCCTCGCGATGCGTGATTGGAAGGAGTGAGTAAAGAGTCTAAACGAATAAACTACATGTTTTGGCCAAGCTTTAGAAAGGAAAATTACTGAATTTATTTAGTTTTGCTGCGTTTTCTTTTGATATTAATACAGGAAATTTAAGTTTCTTGCCGACCAAATAATTTTTTACCCAGAAGGCTTACCGATGGCAAAGGATTGTGCTCGGATATTGGCGAAAACTTTCAAATGTAAAAATCCCAATGGGTAAGTGTTTATTCATTGTATTCATAAAGTGTTTACACATTAAATTTATTCATTGTTAAACAAGATTAGCTTATTGAGTCGGTGCCTGTCACCGTTGCTTTGAAAACGTGTTCGCAGAACTCTATACAACGATACACCGCTGTGGATGGAATCTGTAAACCACCGTTGTTCACGAAGTTGACTGAATACTTATCTTTGTCCTAAAGACGACAATTATGCAGTGAAAAATAACTTTTGTTTGCAAAATCAAGGAAATATACGCTCTAACGTTAAAAAAAGGACTGGGGTGAGAAGAAGCTATACTTGTTTTTCTTCGTAAATATTACTTTAAAACATAATTTTGCTAACGTTCTGTTATGTTAATGTCATTATTGGTTTAACGTTTTTTAAGAAATTTTTAAAACAATACCATGCAAATTTGCAAGATGTCAAAATCGCATTTGTCGAGGCTTGTTAAGTTTGTTTTTTTTTTTCAAAAAAGGCACGATTGCTAGATTGATCTATTACCGTAATCAAACTTACTATAAATGACCTGGAAAATTACATTTTTTGCAATTTACTTCCAGTTTTTTTTCATAGTTTTTGCAAAATCCGCTGTCAAAATTACGGTGGCTCACAAGGGCCACCACACAAAATAAAAATATTAATACACACACAAAATAAAAATACACACACAAAATAAAAATACACACACAAAATACATTATACACACACAAAATAAAAATACACACACAAAATATGATTGCGGGCGCTTGCAGTGTCGGATTGTCGGACTATCATATTATCAGTTTGTAATTGTTGTAAATTGTCATGTTATGTTGTGTAGTGTGTGAATATACCGTATGATTAATTGTAAAATGTTTGTCATATATTACTAGACAAATAGGAAAATACGTAGATAGTTATTAAACTGTGGTTTCAGTGGAATTCCTGTACGTAAATTCAAAATACTTAGGAGCACTTTTTCTACCCAATGTGGCATTACGTACAGGATTTCCACTGATTTCCACAGTTTAATAACTATATACGTATTTTCCTATTTGTCTAGTAATATATGACAAACATTTTACAATTTATCATACGGCACGTACCAAGGTCACCACAAAAATAAAAATATTAATACACACACAAAATAAAAATACACACACAAAATACATTATACACACACAAAATAAATACACACAAAATACATACACACAAAATACACAAAATAAAAATACACACAAAATAAAAATTCACACAAAGAGCACACACACAAAATATTGAATATTGACAAATATATTGATGCTAGAAAGTGGATTAGCCGGATCATTAGCATTACCAGTCAAATTGTTGTAAATTGGCTCTTTATGTTGTGTAGTGTGTGACATACCATGATAAATTGTAAAATGTCTGTCATATATTACTAGACAAATAGGAAAACATGCATATAGTTATTAAACTGTAAACAGTGTTCCTGTACGTAATGCCACATTGTAGAAAAGTGCCCTTTAGTATTTTGAATTTACCTACAGAATTCCACTGAAACCACAGTTTAATAACTATCTACTGTATTTTCCTATTTGTCTAGTAATAGGTGACAAACATTTTACAATTTATCATACGGTATATTCACACACTACACAACATAACATGACAATTTACAACAATTACAAACTGATAATATGATAGTCCGACAATCCGACACTGCAAGCGCCCGCAATCATATTTTGTGTGTGTATTTTTATTTTGTGTGTGTATTTTTATTTTGTGTGTATAATGTATTTTGTGTGTATAATGTATTTTGCGTGTGGATTTTTATTTTGTGTGTGTATTTTTATTTTGTGTGTATAATGTATTTTGTGTGTGTATTTTTATTTTGTGTGTGTATTAATATTTTTATTTTGTGTGGTGGCCCTTGTGAGCCACCGTACAAAATGACTAAAACACTGACATATTTTGTTTTGGTCGTGTTTATCACAAGCGTGGAAAGACTGGGAACGATACTGTCGACTTAGGCTTCAAATTTCCGGGCGAAGGTAGCCTTCCAGTTATATTTAGTTCAATGGATTTGGTAGTCGAAACTTCCACTTTAAAAATTGTTTTCAATATTCACTCCCTCCTGATTTCTAATACTGTTTATATGAACGACAACAAGTGAAAAAATACTATTACCATACCGTCAGCATATCATGTGAAAATAATGCTTCAGCATGGCGGGAAAAACACAGTAAACACACGCATCTAAATAAAGAAAATCGACGGCAGAGAAACGCATATTTTGGCTGTAGCATTTAAGTTATTTTATGATATTTTAACCTTTTAAAAGTGAAAATCAAACGGCATTCTTTAGTGGACCTGTAAGTCTCGTCAAACTTATACATTATTTCATGCTTCTGTGTGTTTGACTGTAAACAGTTTGGTGCAACTATTTTTCTTGCTGAAATGGATAAATCTGTGTTAAAAAGCTCCTAAGGAAGCGAGAAAATGTTTGCTTCAGTCCTTCGACATAAGTCAACTGAAAATTTACTATGGATAAGTATAAGTTTTATTGTCATTGCCTGATAAATTTGCTGAAAACTCATAAAGAAAGTATGTTGAACTAGAAGAGCTGCAAAAAGAAAAAAATTCAAAACACCAAGATGATATTGTTGGTTGGAAATTTGTATTTTGTTAACTGCTTGGCAGAACCTTGGGTCTATTACTGAACAGAACTACAATAATTTTCCATTGAAATAACAAACTTGGAAACTAGTTTGGAAACTAGGAAAGTGCATTGGCTTCTCTGACAAAAACACTCTGTCTATTGCTGCATGAAGGCAAAATAGTTAATTGATAGTGTAGGTGAAGAAATTTAGCAAGTTCTATAGATATTATTGTGCCTTACTTAGAGTCTTTCGGAATTGTGTAATGTATGTCAAGAAGAAGATACAATTTTTCAAAAATGATAACCTTTTCGAGCACTACTACTTTTCTGTTCTGCTTGAACAACTTATAGCTATCAATACTAATTATTTATATGTACAAATTTACAATTGGGAATTAAATGATAAACAACTTGATAAATCTTTGTATTTTACATCAAGCCTTTGAATTTGTTCCTTTTATCTCTTGGTAAAAAAATATTAATAAAAGACATACAAATCAATTTTCTCGAAATTAGTATTTTGTACCAAGAAACTAAACATAATTGAAAAGGTCACATGTTGAAGACAGACTTTGCTTCTTTGACTAGGTTGCTTGACCATGAGCAATTTCAATTTGTTTACAATTTGTCTAAAGAATTCTTTTTATTGATTTCTACTAATTCATAATAAGACACAGATAAGTTCTTTGCCATCTATTTTTTCTTCTTCTACATTTAACTTCATTGTAACCAATACATCCGATGTGAATTTGTGGATCACCTTGAATCATACCAAGTATGGATTTGGTGAAATGAGACAATATTATGTTCAATTTTCATGCATATTAATGATATAATCACAAGCTACTGTTGAACAAAAATTTGAAGGTAGGAGCAAATTTTAGAACATTGTTCAACACACTCCTTCTATCTTGGTTTTGAAGTAGTAACCTGTTTACTATAACAATTTTAAAAAAGTATTTATGTTAGGAAAATAGTTTTGATATTTTCTTTACTCCCAATCGTTGTGGTAAAATCAGGGCAGGCGACAAAATTTTTATTTCATGAGCCCGCGTCTTCCCGCTGACTTTGACCTCCAAAATCCGCCATGATTTTGACCGCGTGCCGTGCGCTAATAATTTATAGTAATTTTGTTGACGTGCTCCCTCCAGGTCTTATAGAATTCAATGTGGTTATACATAAGTGGTAAAAATTCACACATCAGATTATTATAGTGTAATCTTTCTTGGTGTGTTTGTTATCTGTATTATTATTTTTACGATAGTCAATGGCGATAATAGTGCAAGCCCTCAATACCCAAGGGCAAGATCTTACGTTTTGTCATATCCAGTTCCTTTGAAATCGAATGTGTTTTTTTCAGTCCATTTTAATATGCATATATAAATATTCTCCACTGGCAATGTCTCTGCTTCACGTCATTGAGTTCTATAATAACTGGAGCGCCTATCTCTAACACGGCTTTAATTAGCGACTGACGCCAAAAAATGGAGGATTTGTTCCATTACCGCTGATATTTACCGAAATTGACTGCTTTTCTGAAAATGTCACAATTTCTCTTAAGAAAGAGTGAGGAAAAAGACATGACAATTCATCAACATCAAAACACACATAACCTTGTTATCTTTATTTGGTACTTGACCTTTACTTTCAAAGCATTCAAGGCATCTTTATTAAATCCATTACATCCATCCATAGAATTAGTCCAAGTTCAAATAACTGTTGTACAGGAAGTCGGTAAATCATTTACCTTTTTTCGTATTCAGCCTTAGCATTTTGCAGTTAGACTCTGTCTGGTCAATAGCATCTTCCAATTGTCTTAATATAGTGATCTATGAAATAGTGGTACTGCAGCATATTCCAGAAACATTTCGCTATCCGATCATCTCTTCATGTTGTGAGCAAATTGACCGGAACAAACTCTTCTCTACTTTATGGGTTCTCTTTAGGGTGATCGTTTCTTCATAGTATCTGCCCACTGGGTAAAAAGAGCAGAATCTTTTTTCGCGTCAGGGAAACTATTTTGCAAACAGATTTACGGTTTCACACATTAACAAATAAGTGGAAAGTATGTTGATATTTAAAAACATAAATAGGAAAACATCAGTCGGATTTTATCGCTCAGGCTTCAAGTTCAATTGCATTTCAATTTTTGATGAACAAACCAAAGAAATATCTCACCTGTGAAAGCGACATGTTCCTTTTGTGGACACTACCATATCCAACGATTGTATGATTGAAGTGCTGGCATTTTAAAATAAATGCCAAAAAAGATATCGTGTTTGTTTTTGAATAATGCTGTATAATTAGCTATGGACATCAGGGGGAGGTCGAGAATATAATTTTTCTGCAAAGCGATCATTTCAGCGGAAATAGGTCCATTGACCGCCATTTTTTTGCGTCAGGTCCCAGTCCACTTAGCCGCTCCAGTTATTATAGAACTCAATGCTTCACGTACGAACAACTACAGTTAATACTTTATGTTGTTTTTTTGTAGGTGACGTCATTTGCTCAAGTAATGTTAGATCCATACTACCGAACGATTAATGGTTTTAAAATTTTAGTTGAAAAAGAATGGTTGTCCTTTGGACATCGTTTCTCACATCGCTGTAATCATACACATTCAACTCAATCAAGTGGATTCACGCCTGTTTTCTTGCAATTTCTTGATGGCGTCCATCAGGTTATCATTGTTTCTTAAAGTTGTCTTAAAAAATTGGAGTTAAGATGGTCTGGTGTCCGTCGTCTGAGTATTGTGCGAAATGTTTTTTTATATTACACAAGAAAAAAACGTTTGACAAAAGCTTGTGTTAAGCATATTGTTGGGTTTTTTTTGAAAACTTTATTCGATCAAAAATTTTAGTCATGAAGTTAAGGTGCTTTTCTCGCTATAAATTCCACATTTACCATTAACTCTTAAAAGCAACTCTTTCGTGGTCATTATCTTCAAAGTTTTCTTGCATTGTACGACTCAATAAACATCTCAATGATGCATAGTTAAGGTTCAAAAAATAACTTCTCTAGATAGTTAAATTCATTTTAAGAACATGTGCACAATATTTTTTCAATGGTCTTTTCGGGCCCAGAAATAAGTTACGCATCGCTATCAGTGACGCACTTAGGAGAACACGCTCGTTTCGTAAAGTAAAAACACCGTATATTATTAAAGAATTTTGGTGGGAAATGTTTAGAAATCAATTGTCTCCCATCTTTTTTATTTGCTATAGTTCAAAATTAATGATAGAGTGACTTAGCTATTTGTTCATATTGCTTGTGTTCTCAGTTATTTATTTTTATATGAAAGTTTGGAAAAATTACTCATATCTACATATTTTTTATGTTCTCAGATATTACGTCAGTATCCACTATCCTTCGAATTCAACGAGTATTATTTACATTTTCTCGCCTATCATCATGTCTCCATGCGTTTTCGTACGTTTTTACTGGATTCAGAGCACGAACGTGTGCAGATGGGTTGGCTATCAGATGCTGAAAAGAAAGATGCAAAGACTTCTAAATCTCACATAAAAAGTCTTTGGGATTACATCGACATGCTACACAAAAAATCATCATTATTTTATAATTTCAAGTTTTCGAAAGAACATTCTGAAAAGGTGAGTTGTTGATTTGCAGCCATATTTTAGCAAATCTTTGCAGCAACAGTTCGCATGCAATACAATGAAATTACCTGCATGCTTTTCGGTCATGTAGTTGTGTAATCACTGTCAAATTGATTAAAACAAGATCAAAGAAAAACAGGCATTTAACTCAGTTTATTTTTCAATGGACGCTTTGTATATCTTTTATCTAACACGTTTATTGGTTAAACTTGTAAACTTCATTTAGTAAATCCTAGAATATCCTTGATTTGTTGTGTGGTACTTAAAGTGACATTATTGGACTGTAAAACCCATTGAACTAAATAGAACTGGAATGTTACTTCCCGCCAAAATTTTAAAGCCACCAATTCAACTAGTCCCAATCCTTCCACGCACGGCCTATAAAGTCCATTTACAGTGATAAGCTAGCGGGATTTCACCCACAGACACGCGTGTCTGAGAGTAAAATTTGTTAGTGTCAATGGTTAAACCTGAATATTTTTCTTCTCTAGACAAATACGAAGAGAAATACTTATGTCTGTGTATAATTATATTGTGCTGTGTTTTTAATGAGATAGAACAAAATTCAAACAAAATTTGTTTGGGTAAATAGGAAAGGTTTGATTATAAATTGGAACGAAAATATATTTTTGTTGCTAGAATTTCGCTCACAAACACAATAATTAAAATTTATTGAGCATCTAAAATACATTTACTAAGTCACAACGACTCGTTTCTTCTCTTAAACCAGATTTATAATTATCTCTAAATTCCCAGGTGCTTCGTCCAGACAAATACGAGGGCAAATACGTATGTCTGTGTATAATTATATTGTGCGATGTTTTTAATGAGATACAACAAAATTTGAACAAAATTTGTTAGTGTAAATAAGAAATTCTTGATCATAAATTGGAACGATAAAAATATTTTTGTTGTCAGAATTTTGCTCACAAACACAAAAATTATAATTTATTGGGCACCTAAAATATATTTACTAGCTCACAAGGACTCGTTTACTTTATTTTCTCTAGAAGATTTTCTTCTCGTAAACCAGATTTAATACATTATTTCTAAATTCCCAGGTGCTTCGTCCTCATTGCAACGTTTCCAATCTAAAATTATGGAGTTATTTTGTTTCGGAGAATGTCTCCACTGGTCCAGAGTTTGATCAAGAAGTTATAAATGAGACAGAAACTGCTGCCGAAGAAGGACAACAGAAGTTAGAAGACAAGTACGATGCCAACAGGTATGAATAAGTTATTGCGTTAAGAAGTAAGCGCGTTCCATTTAAAACGTAGCAAAGTACCTCTACGATTTGCGTGTTTCCATTAAAAATTAGTGAAGTACTACTATACTTAGCGTGTTTCCATTTGAAAATTATTGAGTACTTTAATAGTTAGGATGTTTCCATTTAATCATTATTTAGTACTTCCATTGTTTGCATGTTTCTATTAAAAAATAAGTTCAATGCCATTCGTACCTTGCATGCTTAATTTTTTGTTGCAAACTTTACTATATCTTTAAAAAAGTGACTTATAATATTCAAACGTGCGTAAATTATTGAATAAAATAGCTAACGCTTCACATTGTTTACTAGACGCTGTCGAAGTGGTATGTTTGGTGGATCGGTTCATTACGACAATAGTAGCTGTGCATATCATTTGTACGAATATAATCGCATCGAAGAAGAGGCTGACAAACACGCAACTCGTTGGAAAAATATATGGCAGCGTTTGGAACAGCCTAAAATAACGAAAACGGTATTTATAGCAAATATACTTTCATTGTGACGTGTTGTTTTACTTTTACTTTGTAGACATTAAGTAAAGGTCATCCACTGGATCTTTGTAAATGGCTTGTGAATATCATATTTTAGGTCTCATTTAGGCAGCATAACTACTTTTGCTTACTGGAGTGTGTGTATGGTGTGAATACCATTACAGATTGTAGTGTATGCATTGTATGTATGAATACCGTAGCAGATTGTGGTGTGCATTGTATGTATGAATACCATCACAAACTGGAGTGTATGCATTGTATGAATACCAGACTGAAGTTTGTGCATTGTATAAATACCATTACAGACTGAAGTGCATGGTATGAATACCATTACAGACTGAAGTGTGCATGGTATGAATACCATACAAACTGAAGTGTGTGCATGGTATGAATACCATTACAGAGTGAAGTGTGCATGGTATGAATAACATTACAGACTGAAGTGTGCATGGTGAATACCATTATGGTGAAGTGTGGTATGAATAACATTACAGACTGAAGTGTGTGCATGGTATGAATACCATTACAGACTGGAGTGTGCATTGTATGAATACAGACTGAAGTGTGCATGGTATGAAACCATTACAGACTGAAGTGTGTGTGGTATGAATACCATTACAGACTGGAGTGTGCATTGTATGAATACCACCAGACTGAAGTGTGTGCATGGTATAAATACCATTACAGACTGAAGTGTGTGCATGGTATGAATACCATTACACTGGAGTAGTGCATGGTATGAATACCATCACAGACTGTGGTGTTTGCCTGGTACGAATGAACACCATAACTGACTGGCATTTTTTCTTTACAGTTTTTAACATACAATGAAGAACTTTCCAGAGTCCGTAGTGGTGTACTACACAAACGAGATACAATGGACATAATACTTGAGGTAGTATTTATGATTCTTTTTTCTTTATGATAATTTTATATTGATTCTAGATAATTTATAACTTCAATGACCATTTTATGATTACCTGATCTTAAATTAATATTCTCGTTTATGCAATATACTCGTTCTATTTTGTAATTTTTGGTAAAATAATTTCTATATACAAAAGGATTTTTGTATCAGTTTGGCAACTTTTAAAAATGAACTTTTTTAACATTTAGTTTTGCTGTGCTGGTAGCACTAAACCATGAAATTGTATTCATGTTGTCTTGGAATATGTTGTATTCTTTAAGAACTAGAAAACACTTTCTGAGTTTCTAGAGAGTTTTAGAAACACGTGATTGGTAGAAACAATAAATTACATGGGTAAAGAGTAACACGAAGTGCGTGTGTTTGCCAAAAATTTCGAGTTTCTTTAAAAATTTCACGAGTGTTTCTATATAAATCTATAGGATTAGGCAAATGTTTTTTTGTATTTTCTTTATGAAATAACGTTTTAAGAAGAATATAAAGACAATGAATTTTAATAACATGTTTATATTTTTGCCTTAAAACTTTCCGCAATAACCACGCAAGTTTTTCAATAATTTTGAGAAACTGAAGCTCTCGTGCAATAAAGGGTTTTATAGACACGGTATTTTCAAGCATTGCACTAATCAGCACCCGTGTTTTTAAAAGGTTTTTTTTCACACAATATGAGATTGGTATCATGCCGCCATTTTGAAAGATTCTCGAACACAGTTTGTACAAAATTTTAATGTCTCTGAATTCTGATTTTTTGATAAAATCTTGAAAAGTAGTCAGTTAACGCATTAGTTTAATCTTCATTTAATTTCTTTTTACTGAAATGGAGGTAAAATTGACATCTTAATGTTGAACTTTTGTAAGTGACCTACCTTGTGGCGGCTCACTTCACATGACAACACACCTTTGTACTGTTTTCAGTAAATAATTTGTTTTGTTAAGTGACCTACCTTGTGGTGGCTCACTTCACATGACAACACACCTTTTGTACTGGTTTCAGTAAATAATTTGTTTTGTTAAGTGACCTATCATGTGGCGGCTCACTTCACATGACAACACACCATTTGTACTGGTTTCAGTAAATAATTTGTTTTGTTTAAATTTTCATAATACGTTGATTCCTTTGTTACGTTTGTTAGGCTTTCCATGCCTGTTTTGATCTTAGCTTTAAAAATGTCAACATTGTTGTGTTTTGCGAAGAATAGACAGCAATTGCTTAAATTTGTAATTCAAAATTATTTCTACAACTTTTGCTGCGTATTTATACCTTTGAAGTAGAGAGTATTTTGTTACTTTTATAAGATGACCTTGTAGAAACTGATTTCACTTAGTTTCTTTTAAAGCTACATACTATGTGACACATGTTACTTTTATATTTCAGGGGAAACTTCAAATCGAAGACTACAGTAACCAAGGTTTTTCACGACCTCATTCATTTGAACCTCACAGTTTCTTTACGCCAACCAACTGCGATTTCTGTCTACAAGTGATATGGAATATTGGAAAAGGAGGTATGGTTTGCTTGTGTATCTATCTATCTATGATGGCCATACAGTTGACTTTCCGTTGCATCTATAAACACGCTTCTTTATCTTGTCTACTGTGCAAAGTTTCTATGGAAATTTTGCTAATAAAATTTTACAACTAGCAAGCTTTATAGCAGAATGCACGCGCGTTCATGTTAGTTAAATATACCCTAGTATAAATTTAATTCTGAAATCAAAGTAAAACAATCGCAGCCAGACAATATTTTTTGCTAGATTTATGATAATTGTTATGTCATACAACTGATAATTTATTTCATGATGATTGTGACGCCGCTTTTGTCCATCATGAATTTCAATGAGTGTGTACCGTTGATAATTTAATAATTTAAGAAATTTATTCAAGCAAGTCTATCCAAAATGAATTAAAATGACTTGGCTCGGTCCTGGCATCTTGATACCCAAAAACTGTTCACCACGCGTTGTAGTTACGATATATTTTGTGGAGAGATTTTGTCTCCTACCACCAAAAATTCTTTTGTATTTTAATATGTGTTTTTTATAGGATTCAGATGCACAGAATGTGGATACAACTGTCACGAGAAATGCTTATCACGTGTTCCTAAAACGTGTCCTAATTACAAGAATCTAAAAGACCAGAATGATAGAATGCCATCAACTAGTAACAAAAGCTTACACGAGGTACAATATAGTACACTAGTGAACTTCCATTGATGTTTGTTAACTGCAAACATTTTTCTTCACTTTTAAATTTATAATTATATAATATGTAAACAAAGAAGATATTGTTAAGTTTCACTTTATATTACTCATTTATACCGGATTAAGCTTTAGTTACACTAGACAAACTGATTTATCATGAATTAGTCATTTGAATAATCTTTATCATTCCATAGTCTCCAAGTATAAACAAATCTTCGAAATTTTGTGTGGGTATCTATGGAAACGAGGTGCTTTATTCAAACAATGGAAGCAACGGTATTTTGTATTGGATACGGAAAGACATCAGGTATTGTTCTTTATTGGCAATTTTAGCGAACGATATTTTGATGGAATGTGATAATGAAAGATGGAAAACGGTGTAAAATAAAGCTTCAGATTGTCAATGTCTACTGGTTTCTGTTAAAAATTACTATAGAAAGGTTAACTTTGTTGTTTCTTACCATAGCTTTGTGCCTATTTGATTTAGTCCAAATCATACTTTGCGATACCTTATTTTTGTGATTTCACGTTAAATTTTCATTGTTCTATTTGTGACATCACGTTAAAAGCAAGAGTAACAAAAAGTGCATTTTAAAAATCGTTACATTACTGACAGAGCATGGAATTGTTAAAAGAACTTCTGAGAACGGGAGGTCCATGATTTAAAGCTTCCGACTTTTTTGATGGTGAAAATCGCAAAGTTTAAGCTGTGCAAATTATTCGATGCACTTATTTCTAGTTCATTGCAATTTGCTGTCCTTAGCTTTAACATTTTACGATGTCTATGTTTTCACAAATTAATTGGTTTTGTAGCTTCGTTACTATGATGAAGTAAGCGATGTTCATTGTCAAGGTGTTGTCAACTTATCTGAAATTATTTCATGTGAAATGTCACAGTTGAATTGTAAGTTTTATTTCAATATTTTGCTCTATAGTCTTATTTCTTCCATGGTTTTGATGAGCTTTTAAAACAATGCTCTATTGACTTTGGTTGCATAACTGAGAAAAACGACTTTTCTGTTAACTTTGGATTTTGCGGAGGGTGTTGTGTGTTCCAAATTAAAACTTCTCCTGGGATATTACCTTAAGAGCAAATGTCTTTGTGCACCAGCTTGAATGAATTGCAAATTTTTAAGCTTTTTTGGTATCTGTGGAAAGGATATTTATTTCTGTATATAAAAATTAATAATATATTTAAGTATGGAACAAGTTGCAATTACGTATTTAATTGTACGATAAAACTGTAAACATGATTACATGATTGTAAAAGTGCTGTTATTGTATTGTCGTGTTTTTTTTATAAAATTGCGAATTTCATTGATATTTTAGCAAACGAGAAGCAAGTTTTTTCGACGTAAGTAAATATATTTGTGTATCTTTCATCGCTGTGTTGTTTGTTTGAAGCTTTAAGGTGCTCTAAATCATCACGAATTTTGATTGGTTTAAATTATTGTGTGAAAACCATTTGGTTAATCGTGCTTGCTATTTTCTGTAAACTATGTAAGGGTGGCTAGTATTAAATAATGGGAATAAGCTCTTTTATGAACTTTTAAATTTTCCCTGAAGCTTAAAGATGATCCTTTCTTTACCACTTTTAGTTGATTTAGATTGACATTGAAAAGCAATTAAATATTTTACGCTGATAACATTGAACCCTGTTTTTAAAACTTTGAAATAAAACCGATATAAACTATCATGCATGTAAAATACTTTTTCTTCTTAAAGACTATTTTCACTGCCTTATATGCTTCTATAGCTTCGTACAGAGAAACGATTGTATAATTTGTATGCTGCGACGGAGGAAGAAGCCAAGAAATGGATATCTAAATTACAAAGCTTGGATACGTAGAGCTTCCACGATCCAATCAGGAATTTCATTATAATCAAAAGAAATGTTGTGTATATGTGAAATATTTTAACATTTTAGAACGCATATTTAGGGTAATTTATGTATGTATTTTAATTTTTTTAAATAATAGTATCATTTTGAGACACGCACAGGTTTCAAATAAACATGACTCAAATAACCAATACGAATTTTCGTTGTATTTCCACATGTTATAAAAATAGTGTGACACCAGTTATAATCAGTGAAGCTATTTATTTTTCATTAATTACGTATTTTAACAATAAGAGTCTCACTACTATCAAACGGTAGGCTAACGAGTTTAACTTATCTGCTCAGTCTGAACCGTACCCCGAGTCTAGTGTACGTGATTCCAACGATGATTCACAATAGATTTTCCAAACAGATTAAAGGTACAGAAGTCAAAAAGGCTTAGTTGATGTCTCCAAGACTTGTAGGGTGTTCTTTTGTCAACGTACACCGCCGTATAAGTTATCTTCAATTTGCTGTGCCTCGTAAATTGTCCTCAATAAGTTGTACCCTGTAAGTTGTTCTCATGCAATATAGTTAAATTACTTACATATATATATATATAATAATGCCACAATAAAACCAGAATAAAACTTCTGTGCAGTTCTATAAAATATGCTCACTCATGCAAGAAAGCTTCTAGATTTCCTTCTAATAATGACTATAGATTTCTATTGAATTACCTGGATGAGGAAAATGGCTTGTGCAGCTGGTCGAAATATAATGGAGGACGTGAAGACTCTCGTTTTCATTGTGTTAGTAGAACATATTAGCGAATCTTAATAATATGAAAAGTCGCTGGAGGAGGTTGCGTTCTGACCTTTTAGCAAAGTTTTAGGAAAATTGTATCAGCCGGCATTTCAATATTATGCTAAAAATATATCAGCATTTACACTCTTTCTGTGCAATTTATTTATAAATAACATTTAATTATAAGTACTAGATAAATGATCAAAGTATTAAAGCGTGCATATGCACTACGATAAAAACATCGCAAAGTTATAATTCAAATATACACCTAATGTTTTGCTCAATCAATGTTCACTATATTATTTTAAAATGTTATGATTAACAACAATAAAAATCATATGGTGTAATACCCTTGTTTTACATAACAATATACACCTACGAAGGTTCAAATTCCTTTGCATAAAAACATTTATTATACACGGAATTGAAGGATGCGTATGATGTTTTTATGAGATGAGTTTAAGAAATTTGAAGTCGCTATCAGTTCAAGGTATGTTAACAAAAAATAAATAAAGTTGTAATTACTATACGTCATAGATGATCGGTTATTTTATCTGTACTATTAATGATTTCGTACTTTGAATATATTCAAGGCTTGCTTTAATTCTCAAGCGTTAAAATTTTACAAAACCAATCGTACTCAATAAACATTTAAAACTATTTGTCGTGCGTTCCTTTAAAGCAGTGAGTTATGATTAAAGGAAACATGATTGGACGATTTTAAGTTTTGAATGCAGACAGGAGTCGGACGATTCGACGATTTAAAAATCAATAAAATTATTCTTAACATGAATTTATAGATATAACAAAATAAGGCCAAATTAAGCGTTGTATTTATTTGTCTTCTGATATAAATTTGAATCCACCACTGAATGACTAGTATATAGCGTAGACACACTATAGATTAATTTTGACTGAATTTTATGTATTTCAAAAATATAATATTTTGTTTGAGCTTTTACACTGAGCCTTTTCAATGTCTTATTTGCATACGACGACATGTGAATTATATATAATTTAGATAAACTACTTCATGGTAGGTGAGCGCGTACGATTTAAAACTCAACGTAGACAATTCCGTTCTTACGAAGGAACTTAATTGTTTTGTATTTTCCGTTGTTCCTTTTCTTTGGACCGAAATGTAATGTATTTCCCGAGATATTCACGAAGTTGATTGTCGGAATTGGAATTTTATTTATTTCGGCAATAAAAATTCTTGAAGAAGTCTATACCCGTATACTAAAAGCTCACTCACATTCATATATATTGAGAGCGACATAAAATCACACTCTATCTAATCATCAGCAAAGTCATTTCTCCATCTATGGCAAGATTTTCTCCTAGATATTTCAAATCAAGCAATCAGTTGAGAGAAATTGAGCTTTGAATATGCATGAAGTGCTTTCGAAGCCCCACTCATTGACTGTGCAATGTTTGGCATATTTTCCGTGCGCATGCGTTGAATTCACCGTTTTCTGGCTAGTAACTTGACGACTGTGTACTATATTGTAATAAAAAAGATTTTTGAATATTTGTCATCTCATATTGGTAAGATGGCGAAAGGTTGTAAGAAAACAGGAAAGATATATAAGATATATATATAGCGAGAGCTCATAATTTCATTGCTAACAAGTACGTAAATGCTTGTTCTTTGGTAAATTCGAACGTTTCAACGTAGGGTATAGGTTTGTAAATATTGTTATGTTAACGAAAGTCGAAAATAGAATCTCTTACGTTTTCGTTTCTTCTAAATTATATAAATTCAAATTAATTGAGGTGTAATTATGAGGTATTATTTACTACAAAGACTAACGAGTGCCGGAGTGCAAAACGTACTTGTACAAACGTCGTAATATTACATGTTGCAACATGCATGTCAACTTTCTAAACTTACGATAAAGTAACCATTCACTGAATCTAATAATGATTCATGAGGCGTTTTTGTGAAGAGACCGTTCATTTTAAGTAAAATACAAGTTTACGCCAATAAGAGTGTATTCATTTTAACGTACCGAGAAAATAACAGAAGTAATGACTCTTATTCGAGACTGACTTTATGAATTTATTAGCAATATTTGAAATGTAACAGATGTTCGCCACACATTAATTAAGCACCAGTTAACATTTAAATGCGTAATAACAGAGTTGCGTTGGGATCTTTTGTTATCACAGGAACGTTTACAGACGTACTTCCCTCAATATCAAGGAGAATGATATTTGGTTCTAAATATCCATCATCAATATAATTATTGGAGACGTTTAAACTAAATAGTCCTCATGAATTTAAAGTGTGCTTTCTTTCCACATTTGATTTTCGTTGCCTGAAGAAATTGCATCAGCTTGAATCGTTACTTTTCCAAGGCTGAATCATTTTTTAATTCTAGTGAACGGAATATGTTCATAGCAATATGTGTTTACCAAGTTTAAAATTCCTCTTGTATATCTTTTATACTTTCATGCATCTCAAATGCAAATGGAATGTAAAGAAACAGTAAAATACTACAAATATATAAAACATAAAATGTAAATTAGTAAACATTTTTCTGTCTATAAAGAGTCCTACATTTTTGCAAAATCATTATTACCGATTCGTTGATATAATTATTAACAAATAAAGCCGCAGCTAAAGCTATATGCTTCACAAAACGCGGTGGTTTTCCAAGTAAAAAAACTCGGTCTTTTTTTAAAACTAAAATAAAATTTTGACAAAGCAACAACGACGACAAACATCTTCGTGCAAATCCAGTACACGGTCAAACTTCGAACTCGTACTTGAATTAAGTCGCACAGTATAATAGTACACACTTACTAAAGCTCACTATTGACGCTAGAACATCACATTAAACACTACTTAAAAGTGTATTATTAACACATAGAACATGCTGAGCTAACTGCGTCAAAATAGCAGAGTGGGAATAAACAAAGTTGTACCAGATTATTATTTTCTTTTCCACCAGTACAAGATTAAAAGACCAAATAGGAATGACGGCGGATAACGTTTACCAACGTAGATTTTCCAATATTTTGGTTTCGCGACTTTTAATAATCAAAATATACGTCATGGTTAGAACAAGTTTGTAAATATCGATCGTCCAGGTTGGTATAGTCCTGAGAAGGACTGTTTTGTTGTTGTTGACTGACGTTTCGACAACCTTTGTGGTAGTAACTTCAGAGTCAAATGGATATTTGACTCTTGGATACTATAAATGGATATTTGACTTCATTTGACTCTGAAGATGACTACCGCTAAGGTTGTCGAAACGTCAGTCAACAACAACAAAAACAGTCCTTCTCAGGACTATACCAACCTGGACGATCGACATTTACAAACATGTAGCGATACTCCTGGGTTCAAACCATTTACTTTATTATGGGCAGAACAAGTTATTCAATTCAATTTGAAATCAAAATGTTTCCTATGGCCATGAAATGTTGGCGTTTGTCTCCATTTAAAAACTGTCCGTGCAAGAATCTAATTTGTCGTATCGTCGCATGTGTTATCGGGTTTCTTTTTTGTGATACCTACAGAAACTATATAACCAGTCTTTTATCAGATCAGAGAGTTAACTGTTATTTGGCTTTATAAATGTTTCAGAATTGTCAAGGCTGGCTATAGACGATAAACATTAAACATTAAAATAACATGAATAAAAACGAAGTAAACCTATATTGCCTATTTGTTAATAATGAAAAGTACATGAACTTTAATAAATTTTTCTAGCGGTGGAAATGTCAGAAAGATTATGAATTTCAAATACAATTATTTTTCATTCAAAAAAGAATCACAAAAGCAAAATGACGCTAAGATGTTCGAAAACTCGAAATTCAAAAAACTTTACTAGTTCCTGAACATGTTGATGTAGCTACGACTTTAAACTATCTTGGTAATGTGTATTATGAGACCAAGAAATATGCCAAAGCCGAAGAGTTTTATGAAAAAGCGTTGGAAATTCGAAAGAAATCACTTGGTCCAGAACATGTTGATGTGGCTGCGACTTTAAACAATCTTGGCAATGTTCATTATGATGCCAACAAATATGCCAAAGCAGAGTGCGAAACAGCGTTGGAAATTCGACAAAATCACTTGGTCCTGAACATGTTGATGTAGCTACGACTTCAAACTATCTTGGTAATGTATTATGAGACCAAGAAATAGCCAAAGAGTGTTATGAAAAGCGTTGGAAATTCGAGAAAAATCACTTGGTCCAGAACACGTTGATGTA